TGAGCCAAACCGGCCAGGGCAGGGCCCACTTTCATTCATGAAAAAAATGACATATTTCCGGGGAACTGCCGCTGTCAGCGGAGAATGGGCGTGGGCCGTCTTCTGCCTGCGTCCTGCCTGTGGCCAAAGCGTCGCTGGCACAGCGCGCCCGCAGCCGCTGCGCTCACACCTCCCCACGAGGCAGCCGCTGCGCCCGCCATCACTGCGCGTCTGTGGCCGCGCCAAGGTACAAAGGAGGGCTGTTCGGGTCCGCCCAGGTGGGGCGTGAGCTCCCCGTGCGAGGGCCTCCCTCCGCGCGCCCGCCCGACTGCAAGCAGGGTGCACACAGGCCCCTCGTCTGCGCCCAGGATGTGGCTGCGCCCGGATCCCGGCGGCGGGCGTGCAGGGCAGCAGTACCGGGAGCACCGGGCCGGGCTCAGCGTGTGGGCGCGCTGCACCTCGAGGGCCGCGGAGGGTGCGGGGCTAGGACAGCCTCAGACATGCCCCCGCCCTCCTCCGCGTCAGCCCCCTAGACCTGGCCCGCTTCGAGACCCTCGTCTTCCCGCCGGACCTTGAGCACCAGCCGGGTCCCGTGGCTCCACGTCCCTAGGATATGGGCTCTATCCCTTTGTGGCGCGCACCGCTTGGGGGCAGACACCTCCACCCGCAGCGCATTAGAGCAGGGTGGGTAGCCGGTGCACTGGAAGGTATCGCCCGACATGCAGGGCACTGGGGAGCAAAGGCCTGGCCGCGCGGGCTGCCACACTCCCATATTCTCCCTCCAAAGTTCTGTCCGTCGCTTTGGCCGAAACTGGCCCTGAACTGGACCCGCAGCGGTGTGGGGGGAGCGGCACCAAAACCAGAAATTTTCCATCAGGACAGAACCCGCAGAACAACTATAGGGATCTTGGAAACGCAGCCCCCCGTCACCTCCCAACGGCGCCTGGGGCAGACTGCGCCCCCTTGGGGAAGCGCGGGAGCGGGGCGCTGGCGGCACGGTTGTGCCCAGCTCCTGCCACAGCCTCGCTCCAGGCGCCCCACATACTGCCGCGCTGATGTGGCCGAGTACCCGGGGAGGAACGGCAACAGAAACCAGGACACTGGTCCCGCGGTGCCAGCCCACATCGTCCTCCGGCGCACACAGATCGGCGCCCACCCCCCTCTACTAGGTGCCCGTTCCCGGGCCATGATGCTTTCGCCTGCCCGGGCGCCCGGCCCCTCCCCTGTATCCATCGGTCCTTCCTTACCTGCCACTCCGCACAACGTGCTGTTCCGAGCCCGGGGTGCCCGAGGCGGCGCCCCTTACGACTGCCACGGCCACGCAGAACGCTATAGCCCGGGAGCCCCCCGCGGGGGCACGGGCTACATCGTGCCCAGGCGGTGCGCGCGGACTCGCTGCCCACGATGGTCCTGCAATGGCACCTGCGGGAGGGGAGCCTTGTTACCCGGCCTGGCAGAAGCGCAGGGGTGGAGCGCAGTAGACCGGGTCGGCGCCCCAGCCCCTCCGATCCCCGGCTGCGCTGCGGCCTCCGCCTCCCAGGGCTCCTGGCGGCCTGGCTCGGGCCTCCTGCTCCTCCTCTCCCAGGCTGCTGCACCGTCCTCCCAGGTAGGCTGCTCGACTGCGGTCAACTTTTCAGAGCGGTGTTGTAGACCAACCAGACAAACCAAACTCAGATTCTGAACTGGGTTCAAATTAAGAGAGATTTAGCCCTGCCGGTTTGGCTCAGCAGTTAGAGCGTCGGCCTGTGGTCCAGAGAGACCCGGTTTCGGTTCCCGCTAAGTGCACGTACCTCGGTTGCAGTTTGTCCCCGGCCCTGGTTGGGTTGTGCAGGCGGCAACCACTCGATGTGTCCCTTTCACGTCGATGTTTTTTTTTCTCTCTCCCTCCTTCCCACTCTATCTGAACAAAAATATCGAAAAATGTCCTCGGGTGAGGATTAAAAATATAAAAAAAAGGAGATTTATTAGCCGCGCAGCGACTCTCCCATCCTACCAGAGGAGAGAGCAGCCCCAGCTCAGGGAGAGGGTTGCTTATATAGTGGTCTTAGCCCTGGGCTACAGGTTTGCGAGCACGCAAGCTCGTACAGAAGCTGGTATCTGCAGTTAGCCGTGATGCCCGAGAGCAAGCAGTTTCGGTCTGCACCATGCAATGGTTAGCTATTAACCCTGGCTGCTAGTTCTTGCTATTGTCTTAAAGTCCAGGCGTTAAGGTCGGCCTAATGGGAAAATTTTTACTGTACGTTCACATAGCATGTGTTTGTCCTTTACAGTGGGAAGCCCGCACCGGGCCTGGCCGCTGCAGGGACCGCTCAGCATCGGAGCCTGCGCTCGCTGCGGCCCAACGCTGAGCTCCGGCACAGCTGGGCGCTCGCCTCCACCCGGCCTCTCCTGCCCGGCCCCTGCGCCCCGGCCTGGAAGCCGCCAGAGCCCTGTTAGCTGCTCGACGCCCGTTCTAGTGCTCCAGCCCACTGGCCCAGCACGGGTGCCCCGCCCCTCCGGCCATTAGATCTCCAGTGTGTCCGTGCGCCCAGTAGAGCAGGACCTCCGGTTCTCAGGGGCAGGTTCCCGGTCACCGCCCAGCGCTCTGCAGCCAGTGGAAGCAGCTGCGCATCCGCCCCGCCCCGGTCCCCGCCCAGACAGGCCTGGTTCGACCACGCCTACCACACGAGTTAGGGGGCGGAGTCCCGCCCAACCACTGAGGCGGTCGGAAGGCCGGGTAGCGGTTCAGCTCCTCCCAGCCTGCTGAGGGATTTAGGGGGAGGGGAGGGCCCGGGCGGTCTCGGAGGGCGTGGGAGCCAAGGCTAGATTTGTGAGGTCCCCGATTGTACCGCTGGGCGCACGGGGAGGCCAAGCGCAGACCTCTGTTTGCACAGCGCGCAGTCCGGGTTACCTCCCAGCCGCTAATCAGGGGCTCAGGGTGGTCTCGGTGGGCGAAGCTTGTTGGAGAGGCTTCAAAGAAAGGAGCTGCTCAAGCTGAAGCCTGAGGTGTGAGCAGCCAGTCCTCAGGAGCCACAGTGCAGGAGCGCGGCCCGAGGGGCAGGAGGGGCGCTCTGTGCAAGGCCTGGGGTGAAGGAGGGCTCTGCCTGTTCGCCTGGGCCTGAGGCAAGGGGACTGCACCCCAGAAGCTTGTTACCCAGAAGCTCGCTGCTGCATTTATTAAGCGACTGTGGCACACATGTAGCTAGGCTGAGTTCCCGGCCAGAGGGGCATTGCCCAGTCCCCTGGGAGGCACACGTTTGGAGGCTGGGTGCTTGCCAGGCATCAGAATAGAGAGCTAGGGCTGGGGACCCAACCCTAAGGCTCTGAGGAAGGACGGACCACAGGGGAGGGTGGCAGCACCTGAGTGGGCCTGGGGTGTGCCGGCTGGGGACCCAATGTGGCTGTGGCTTCTGTGCCACCTTCACCAGGAAGAGGACTCTCGTCCCACCTTCAGGCAAGCCAGGAGGGTTGGGGCCCACAAGCCAGAGAGGGTGTCACAGCGGCATGGCTTGTTGCCCCAGCCAAGTGCCTCTGGCCCACCTGGCTGTGGCTTCTGGGACTTGGTTTGCTCATCAGGAAAATGGGCAATGGATTCCCCTCTGTGACTGGCTGCTTGGGCCACACACAGCTCCGGGCGCTGCCTGTGCTGGGAGGCCAGCCTGGAGACCCCAGCCTCCCAGGCCAGACTGCAGGCCCTGGAAGGGCCCCGCCCCCAGGGAGCCCCCACACCCACCACTGTGCCCAGGTGACACAGGAGCAGCTCTGCCACATCAGGTGCCCTCACTGCCTGCTCTGCTCAAGTCCCTGTCTCCTAGACAGGCTGGGGCCCGCTGAACCCCAAGAGGGCTGTCCCTACCCCTCCAGTGCAGAGCCCCAGGCCACCCCCACACAGGCCCTCCCCAAAGTCCCACAGTCTGATTTAAGGCACTGACTAGTCATCTATGCTGGTTTGGGTGTCCAGGTGCTGGGGGCCCGTGATGCCTCTGTAGGCCAAGTCTCTGCCCAGTTCAGAAGGGCTCCTGGGGTACCCTTACTATCACCTGCACCTGTCCCAGGGCTTCACCACTACCCTGTAAGTGCACCCCTCTGGGCCCCATGCCCTGTACAACATGGTCAGGGAGGAAGGGTCCAAGGGTCCAGCGAGCAAGTAGGACAGGCTCCTGTGCAGCAGGCCCTGGGATGCGGCCCGACGCCCAGTGGAACCAGGTATTCACCCAGAGACATTTTGTTTTAAATTAAAGAAGTTTAGAGTGAGAAGAAAGGAGAAACATCAATTTGCATTGCACTTATTCATGCATTCATCGATTCCCATACGTGCCCTGACTGGGGATTGAACCCCCAACCTTGGTGAACTGGGACAACTCTCTTACCAACTGACCTACCTGCCAGGGTCTGAGACATTTTCTTAGGAGCTTTCAGAGCTCCTGTCACGAGCGGCAAACACCTGCTCTGGTTGGGGTTCTCCAGAGCAGAACCTGGAGCCCTCATCCCAGCTGCTGGCTGGAACCCGGGCCTATGAGCCGCCCCTGGAAGAATGGGCTCAGGTCCTGAGTCCAGCTGGGAACCTGAAGTCTACGGGGCAGACAGACCTTCTCCCTCGGGGAGTGTTTTGGTCTCAGGCTCCAAGGGACTGGACGAGGCCACCGCAGCAGCCAGGACACTGCTGGTATGGGTGCTAATTAGCCACGGCTGCCGAATCCCTCAGCCACCCCTCAGGGACCGCTCCACTCACAGGGCTGCGGCCTCCCCAGTCCACACAGGCCACCACCCTTCTGCTTGCTTCTCGCATGAGAACTTCAGTCCCTTGGTCTCTGATCTGTGCTCAGGAGGAGACAGCAGGCTGCTGCCCCCTGGCGGAGATGAAGCAAAGGCACGGGGGGCACAGTGGCCATGGTGGATTCAGCCCAAGCAGGAAACCTTGGTTTTTACTTAAATATTTTTTCTTTATTGAATTGAGATAGACAGGAAGGGAAAGGTAGAGATAGACAGAAACACGGATGGAGAGAACATTGAATGGCCGCCTCCCACTGGGGATCAAGCCCACAACCTGGGCAAGTGCCTTGACCGGGAATGAAACTGGTGACCTCCTGGTCCAGGGGTCGATGCTCAACCAGTGAACCACACCAGCCTGGCAAAAGCTTGGTTGTAATCAAAAGAAACCAACTTTAGCACAAAAGTGAAATAAAACTTTAGTCTTATTTCTAAAGCAATCTTGTTTTAAAACTAGCTGAGGTTAGAAGAGAAAAAAGCACATGAAACCTTCTAAGAGACAGACAGTCAAACAAACAGACAGACAGACAGACAGGAGGCGGTGGGCGCAGGGTCGACCCCAGGTCAGATCTTCTCCATCTTGGAAATGAGGTCGTCACAGATTCTGGTCAGTTCATCGTTCTCTTTCGCCTGCAGGAGAAAGGTCACGCCCATCTCCCAGTGCTCACATGCGGCCCTGTTGGCCCCTGGCCCGGCCAGGGGAGGAGTCTGGGAGCAAGGCCGCGGTGCAGCCTGGGATCGAGCAAGCCAATGGGCCCTGTGACAGGCAGGTCCCAATCAGAGCAGTCCGTCCCTCCCGCTTGCCGGGGCCTCAGGCCTGCACCCACCTTCTGCTCCACGGCCTTCTCCAGCGAGTGGACACGCATCTGCTCCTTCCTCAGGCTCGCCTGGAAGGCCAGCGCCTCTGCCTGGGCCTTGCTCCGGACCTGAGCAATCTCCTCGTTGGCCCTGGACATGCAGAGAGCGGGCTCAGCCTCACCCTCGTCCCTCCCCAGCTGTCCAGGGCGTCCCCATACTCACAGCCGCAGCTTCTCCTCCGCGTGGGCCTTCAGCGCTTGGTATCTCTGGCCCTCCCTCTGGACTCTGGCGATGTAGTCCTCCACGCACTTCTTCAGGGACTCTTCATTCTTTAAGGAGGGCGGGCGTTACTGCTGCCAGTCATTGCTCTGGAGGCAGGCCCCAGGTCGGGCACGGACAGGGCCCTGTCAAGCTCTCTGGGGACGTTCACGAAGCCGCCGAGACCCAGAGGAAGGCCTCAGGGAAGCAGCACCGTTTTTCTTTGGGAAAAGGCCCCTCCACACAGTCCAGGCCTCCCCACTCCTGGACACCAGGCCTGACCCAGACCCCTCTGGATAACGTCGCCTCCTGTCCCCTTAGCCTGTCTGGCCCGGACTCCTGAACACCCCACCTGGGGACCCCAAGGTTGAAGAAGGCCCAGGCCCTCCTCCAAAGGCTGCTGCTGGCTTCTTGGTGCCTCCTGTCAGCAGGGCACCCCTCAACCTGTGTGGTCCTGCCTCCAGGCTGTGCCCTGAAGTTCCTCTGCTCACGTGCCCAGGCCTCCACAGGACAACAGCGCCCACACCCCATCCTGGGCCCACTGGCGAGACTGGTCTCAGCCCTGGCACAGTGCAAGGCTCAGCAAGGTGCCAAGTTTCAAGGACCAGTGTGCTGGGGAGGGCTGGGCAGCCTCCGGTCTAATGGGCTGGGCACTAGGCCATGACAAGGTGGGGATTCAAGGCGGCCCAGCTAAGTTCCACTGTGGAGGTCGGGCATAGCCCCACCTACCGTGCGGTAGCCTTCGATCACCTCCTTCTGCTTCTCAAATCGCTTGAAGAGATCAGAGAAGGACTTTTCCATGGAGCTCAAATCCACGGTCAGCTGGTCTTTTTCTTTCAGAACCTTCTGGATCTGGGCTTTGGCAAGTTCCTGCTGTTTCTGAGCCTCCTCTTGGAAACAGAAAAGCACCTGGGGTTAGGGGGGCCGCTTCCATTCTGGTGTCACAGGTGACAGAGAGGAGGAAGGAGACGGTGGCACAGAGGAGAGGTGGGCAGGGTGAGTCACAGCACACCGAGGTCCAGCTGTAGGAAGGTGACAAGCCCTTCTCCACGCTGCTCTCCCAGAGCAGGATGGGGGGACACTTATGCCTGGAACACAGCTCTTCCTTAATACCAGGTCCACCGGAACCCGCGGGGGAGGGTGTGAACCCAGGGCCCCACAGCAGAGCCCACGGTGACACCTGTCCCCACATTTGGGGGCCGCTGGGGCCTGAGTCCTTTGCCTGGGGAGAGGCAGGGTGCCCCCACCCTCCAGCCCCAGCCTAGACACACCCAGAACCTGATACCACAGAGGCCAAAGTTGGATGTGCAACCGTGGGAGGAACCCTGTCAATTTATTTTCCTGCTGTGACCCTAGCTGCTAGCTCAGGTGTGGCCAACTTAGGGACCGATGAGTGTCAGCACATAGACGTACCGTCTCCCTGACCCCAACTTATTCTGCACGGTCTGGGCTGCTCTACCGCTGGGGGCTGAGGGGGCCAAGGCGGGAGCTGGTGTTAGGAAGAGGAGCCCATGGGCCCCACTTACCCATCGCCTGGTACATGAAGCTCTCGTACCCATCCATGACCTTCCTGTGGGAGGGTCAGTTGTGTGTGAGAGGCATGGCTGAGCGCCGTGGAAGGCCACCTAGAGGGTCACCCCCACCCCACCCCCGGTAGCCCTGCAGGCCTCACCCCATCTCCAGGTTTTTCTGGTGCAGCTCCTCACACCGGCTCCTCAGCTGCAGGTTCTCCTTCTGTGTTGCCTCCACCTGCACAAACCATATCCCTTGTGCCTCATCAGCCGGACATCACCAGGATGGGCCGGCAGGTACACAGTGAGAGCCCATCAAGCTCCCCTTCCTGGGCAGGTGTGTTATGGGCCCCAAGTCTGTGTGGACTTGGGGGTGCCTATTGCTACAAGTGAGACTGGGAGAGCAGCTAGGGGGGTGGCAGAGAGACCACCTCATGGAAGGCCAGCTCGGAGCAGGGCAGGGGCCATGGGGCACTGAAGCCGGGGCAGGGCGCAGCTGCCGGCAGACACGGCCTGACAGTGGACCCCGCCCACTTGCAGCAGCACCAGGGCAGGCAGCACCCCAGGGCTGCAGCCGACAAGCTGGGGCAGCATGATGTGACCCCTCCCCATGCCTCACCGCTGCGTCCAGGTCCTTCTGGGTGTACTGCAGCATGTCCACGATAGGGCCCCCAGGCCCGAAGACACACGGAGGGGGACCGGGCACCTGTGGGGCGATAGAGACCAGATGAGCCCCAAGCTCCTCTCGCATTCAGCCCTGCCCTGTGATCAGGGAGGACAGGTCCTCAGAGGCAGTAGGTTGCAGGACAGCAAGGTAGTGACCAGAAACAAGGAGAGGCCCTGGGGCCCCCAGCCCACTGACCTCTGAGCCTTGAGATCTCTGAAAGTGAAACCTAGGCCCTTCACTCACACACACACACACACACACACCCCTCTTCACAAGACAAAAGGCTGAAGCACTCACAGGAAGGTCTGGTGCTCCCAGGAAGTCCAGGTCCACCAGTGTGGCCTCGGGTGGGCTTCCCGAGGAAGGGGCGTGGGCATCCTGGGTACTGAAACCAGAACAGAGGGACACACACCCCATGTTCCTCCAGGGCAGGGTGTTCCCAGGTTTCCCCATGGGGCAAGAGACAACATTTTAGGAATTGGGGGGTCACATGGCCTGTGGCGCCTGGCAACCCTGCTGTCCTAGAGCGAAAGCACCCAGGTGCACGCGTGCAGGAAGGTGTCACGGTGCCCACACCCCAGGCCTGGCTGTCTTGCTCCCCAGGCGTCCACCACTGGGCCTATTCTGAGTCAGAGTTCCTGACTTTCTTTTTATTTTTTTTTATTTATTTATTTTTTTATCCTCACCCGAGGACATTTTTTGATATTTTGTTCAGATAGAGTGGGAGGGAGAGAGAGAGAGAGAAACATCGACATGAAAGGGGCACATCGAGTGGTCGCCACCCACACGACCCAACCAGGACCGGGGACAAACCGCAACCGAAGTACATGCCCGTAGCGGGAACCGAACCCGGGTCTCTCCGGACCGCAGGCCGACGCTCTAACCGCTGAGCCAAACTGGCCAGGGCTCCTGACTTTGTTTTTAAACTCACACGTGAGGCGTCAGCTCAGAGCCTGCTGTTTAGAAGCCAAGTCACGACTGCCCCCTTAGTCTGGAAGTCTCTGACCACCGGGTATCTGCCTACCACAAACTGAGTCCCCTACAGAGGTCAGCATACCTGCTGGTCTTGGGGGCCGCAGGCTCCGGTCTCTGAGGACTGTCCTTCAGGAGCGGGTCGAACTTCAGGTATAAGGACTGCTTCCTCAGGGCTGACTCCTGAAACTAAGGGCGGTACGTCAGCAGGGTCCCCGTCCTCCCTGACGGACAACAGCCCCAAGCGGGAGGTGACCCAAGGGCCTGAGATCACTGCACACCGAGCTGTCTCCAAGGCGGGACTGACCCAGCACAGAGCAGGGTGCTCTCGAGTCCGCTCTGGTGACCCAGAATACGACTCTGCTGGGACCGCGGGACCAGGCTCAGAATTTGGCTGCAGGAAGAGGCCCAGAGAGGCCTAGAGAGCCTGGCACTTGGCCTGAAGAACCGTCTAGGCTGCCAAGGTGTGACAGCTGCTCTCAAGAAAGTCCTGGCTGGAGACACACCCTCAGGTAAGGCTTTGGCAAGTGCGGGTACTCACCAGGGACGTCCCGAACTGCTCCAGGTAGTCCACGTCGGCCCCCGTGCCTAGGACTGAGGGGAACACGTCAACACCACTGCCACCTGCGCCCCACACCTGGCGGACTGAGCTTCCCGGTGGAACACAGGCCAGCCCAGCAGCTTCCTCAAAGGTTACGTGATCAGAAGCTGAAGGACTTATTTGGGGTAGTTTTAAATAATGGTTCTCTACCTGGACGATTTAGCCCCAGAGCCCCCAGTGCTCAGACTGTGCCAATACCAAGCTGCGCCCACCCTGCCAGCCGCTCTTCCAGGACCTGGGCCCCAAGATCTTTACCTTTAAATTGGGGTTTCTGGCCTCACACTAATGACACCTGGGGCCAGATCATCTTGTGGGGCCATGCTGTGCACTACTAGGTGCTGAGAAGCAACCCCCAGGAGTGACAACCGAAAGTGTCCCCTGGGGCTAAATTGTCCAGGTAGAGAACCACTATTTAAAACTACCCCAAATAAGTCCTTCAGCTTCTGATAACGAAACCTTTGCGTAAAACAACTAAGGGTATCTCATGCCATATATAAAAGTTAACTCAAGATGAGTCAAACATCTAGGTATGCGAGCTAAAATCATAAAACACTCGCCCTGGCCAGTTTGGCTCAGTGGTTAGAGCGTCGGCCTGCGGTCCGGAGACCCGGGTTCGGTTCCTGCTAAGGGCGCGTACTTCGGTTGCAAATTTGTCCCCGGCCCTGGTTGGTCGTGCGGGTGGCAGCCACTCGATGTGTCTCTTCACGTCGATGTTTCTCTCTCTCTCTCTCCCTTTCTCTCTCTCCCTCCCACTCTATCTGTACAAAAAATGGAAAAATATCCTCGGGTGAGGATAAAAAAAATAAAAAAATAAAAAAATAAAATAAAATCATAAAACACTCTGAAGAAAACATAACAGTAAACCTTCACAACTTTGACTTTGGCAATGATTTCTTTGATTGGAAACCAAAACCATAAACAACATAAATGAACTTCAAAGTGAACGTCTGTGCTCCCAAGGACACTGTCAATGCGGTGAAAGTCAACCCACAGGATGAGTGAGATTTTACAAATCATATATCTGATCAGGGGTTCTTCTCTGTAAGACACAAGAAGCCTAACAACAAAAAGACAGACTAGTAGGGCAAAGGCTCTGAACAGAAGTTCTTTTACATGAGACACGAGACCAGCAAGTACATGAAAGGTGCTCACTGTCACCCTCAACCAGGAACATGAGTCACAGACACAGACCTGCTGCACACCCACTGGGATGGCGAGAACCGGGAGGTCAGACAGCAGTGTTGGCGAGGATGTGGAAAAGAGGGGCCCACCCTGAACCCGGGGAGAGGTGCAGACCCCGTGGAAAAGTCCACAGTCCCTCAGGAAGCTAGACAGTTATGTGGGAGCAGGTACTCACACCCAGAAGACAGAGGAAATGTGCACCCCCACCCCCACGTGTGCACGCATGTCCACACAGCTGCAAGTGGAGCCACACAGAAGCCCACTGCTGCTGTCCACACGTGGGCCATATCACGACATGGGCTGACCTGACAGCATGCTCAGAGAGGGGCCAGACTCAAAACCCATGTGACTCAGGTCCCCTGGGGGTGGCAAGCCTGCCCTAGCAGGGTCTCCCCACGGCTTCTGGCACCCAGGTATGAGGACATGTGCTAGTCCTGCCAGATGAACCCCACCCCCGCATTTCCCATCTTTTCTTCACCTACTGTTTTCAAGTAACCAGGACAGAAACCACTGAACACACCTTCAGTGAGCAACCACCACCTCCCTGCAGAGATGCCAACTTAACCGAACGTGTACCCTATGGAAGGTTTGAGCTCTCATCTCATCCCTGTGGGGGGTCTCAATTCCAACAGTATTTCTCCAATGACCACTGAGGCCCAGGTGTCCGTGGACTCATAACTGTCAGCCTGACTGACCTTTGCATCCTGTTCTGAGTCTGTGACTTCCATTTCCAGGAGTCCTTCACATCACAAGTACCTCCTGGAAATGCCCATCTTCTGATAAACCAGTTTCTTGCCACTTAAGGTCGGGGACCAAGCTGCCTGTAGGAAGATCGCCTGCGACTGCCACTCAACACACGTGCTCACGGACATGTTTCAGGAAAACCGACAGCAGGGACACACGAATAATGACCCAGGAACAACGCACCCTCAGCTGGGTCTCGGAAGTGCTCCTCACTCAGGTCTGAGGCAGGTTCTGGCCCCTGCAGAGCAGGGGGTGCTGGGTCAGCAGGTGAGGCTGTGGGCTCACTGGCCGAACTGCTGGGGGGAGCAGCAGCTGACTCTGCAGAAGTCACGGTTCCCTCCTGGAAGGAAGATAATGGTCACCTGGGTGGGGCCTCTGTCTCACCCAGTCTCATCAAGATGATGGGCATGAGAGCAGGGGGTGGGGGCAGCCGTGTATCCCACCCGGTCACCACTGGCCTCCCTCTATTTTTACTACGGTATGTAAACAGTGGCGACTGTGCCAGGCTGTGCTCATGCTCGGGCACACGCACACTCCGTACCTCGCCCACCGTTCCCGAGGTCCCTGCTGTGGTCTGCATCACAGGTGTGCTATCTGCGGAGGCTGGAGGCACCTGCCTGAAGAGTCGGGGTCAACAGGGCCTGTCCCACCCACCCCCGGCACTGAGCAGTCACCTGCCCTGTGCACCCTTCACCTAGAAAGCAGGCCTTGGGGCCAGCACAGCCTTCCCACCCCCGCGTGAGAGCCCGAGCCTCGAAGGCCTTCGAAGCAGGTGGGAGCTCTGAGGGCTCTAACTCGTGGCAGCACCAGATCCAGGCACCTCTACGAGGTGGCACGCAGCTGGGGATGGTCAGGGACTCTGCATGCAGGTGTGGGCACGGGCACTGAGCAGCTGCCCCCAGAGCAGCGAGCAGCACCCCGGGCCTTGCCCCTGAAGAGCCACACGCAAGGTGCTGACAGCCCTCAGGCCTGAGGAGCTGCAGAAGTTTCTTCTCCAGGCATGTCCCCATGGAGGGGACCGAACAGGGCATGGGCCTGCTCCTTTTGCTACTTCACAATAGCCCCCTGCCCTGACGCCCCTTCTCAGGATGGAAGTGGCATTTCTGGTCCCGGGCCCTCCCACATGCACCACCGAACAGCCATCCCGTCTCTGCCACCCGCACTTACTGGCTCAGAGGTGAATCCCCCGCAGCCCCAGGTCCCTCTGGCCTGCCCTGGGGGCATTCTGGGGGCCGAGCCTCTCCGCCATCTCCGAATGGGTTTGGGTCATCCAGCTTGTCCCAGTCTAGGTGGTAAGACCCCTGGGAAGGAGGAATGGAACCCTCGTCTGCCTCCTCGGGGGCCTTTCCCGGCCTTGCCTCTGGTCTCTTCCCCCGTTTCCTTGGTGGCCCTGGCCTTCTGCTGGCAGCATCATCAGAAAAGTCAAATTCTAGCCTTATGGGCCCGTTCCTCGGAGAGCCAGCTGTGTGGCCGCTGGTCTCCTCCCTCTGAGGACTTGGGGCTGTGGCCCCTCCAGCCTTCAGAGGGCTGGCCAGGGCAGTGTTCTCAGGACCAGAAGTGTCCTCAGGGCTGGCCAGGGCAGTGTTCTCAGGACCAGAAGTGTCCTCAGGGCTGGCCAGGGCGCCAGGCAGGTCTGCGAGGGGGTCTTCTCCGAGGGCTGCTTTGGGGTGAGTACCAGGCGGCAAAGGGGCTCTGGCCAAGGAAGCAAGGGGTCCTTCTGAGCTTTCTCCTGCGGCTCTGTGAGGGTCCTCTGTTCTGTTTGCAGCTGTGATGCTGGGAGCATCTTCTAGAATTTCACAGGTGGATGTAATGGCTTTTTCTAGGGAGTAAGAACCAAGGTTTTCCTCCACGACTTGCTCAGGGCTGTCAGATGTTCCTTGTGGAGATGCCATCTGATTTTCAAGACTCGCCGGGGTGTGGGGACAGCTGGAGGGGTCCAGGAGGGACTGGGGAGCGGAAGCGGGCCCGCTGGAAGGCCTGTCTTCGGAGGCCGGTGTCACGTCCTCTGCAGGGGGGTGGGCATCAGCAAGCACAGGTTTCGGGGCAATTCCACCAGCCCCCGTGGTGTCCACTTCCCCCGGGAACTGTTGGCTTTTAGAAACAGACTTAGTGAACACTAATGAACTCGCTGGCTTTTTAAAAAAAGATTTATTTATTTACGTTAATCCTCACCCAAGGATATTTTTCCATTGATTTTTTTCTTTTATGTAAGTGGGAGGGAAGAAGGAAGAGAGAAACATCGATTGGTTGCCTCCCACATGAACCCGATGGGTTGGGGATCAAACCTGCAACCCAGGTATGTGCCCCTGACTGAGAATCAAACCCACAACCCTTTAGTCCACTGGCCGATGCTCTAACGGCTAAGCCAAACTGGTCAGGGCCCCGGCTGGCTTTTTAAGTAGGTTTTTGTCTACCCTGAAAACATTAGCCAAAGACAGAAAAAAAGAACGTTCAGTGAACCCTCTCCTCAGGATCAATTTTCACAAATATGTATTCCTGTAAGTCACCACTGGTGGGCCAGCTGGGGACACACAGGTTACTCAGCCTGTTTTCCTCTTCGGGTCAGGACCCTAGCTACATATCCTTTGGGCAGCCAGGGCACACGAGGGTCAGCTTTTCACAGAGGAGAGGAGAGGAGAGGAGAGGAGAGGAGGGCGAGGAGGCTGCCTTTAGCCGGAGCTGGGCCTGGCTCCCAAGGCTGCTTTCCCCAGGTGCTCTTCTGGTCCCCCAGCCTCGACTCTGTGGCCCCGGAGCAGGCCAGACCCTGAAGCCAGGAGGCAGCATCTGAGCAGCTGGGTTTCCCTTCCTTCCCAGAGTTGTAATAAAAGGACAGCATTTGAATCACTCCAATCTCTTTCAGCTGAATTTCAAAAAGAAATGTATAAAGTGAAGTTGAAAAGTAACAAGAAAACCTGGGGAGAGAAACAGATTCAGGTTTGAGAAGCTTCCACAGGGAAGCAGGAGAGGAGCCCCGAGGATATTTTCCTCAAATTAAGTGAAGACTATGTTAGTGATATTTTGCTCGAGTACTTTTCTCTATACACCTGAAATCTACTTAAGACAAAAAGCAAGTTTTCAACAACTCAAGTCAGCAAAAGTCAGAACAAAAATGTGCCTGGAGGCCCCTCCCGACTCTGGATGCTGAGGGTCCCTGGCGCCCCAGTCGGGTCCGTTCAGCCTGATTCAGGAGAAGAGCTGCCAGCAGGGCCTCCTTTCCAGACAGAGGCAGGAACAGCTGTTGACTTGCTTAGTTAATCACCATCCAAGCCAAACACCTAATGCCTGGTAAGGCTGCCAAGGAACTCCCCCTGGTTAAAGTCAAGGGTTTAAAACTCAATTCCCTACGCCACGATTCTGACCAGATTATACACAGACAATTTCTTTGCCTCTGAAAGTGAGATCTTCCTGTGAGCTCGATGTTAAGAAAATGAGGCTGACTTGCAAGCAATAGGGAGACCCCAGTGGAAAAAAGATGAAAAAAAACAGAGGCGTGGTCAGGACACTTTATGAAGTTAGAGAAACAAAAACTGAGACCAATTTGTTGGCAAGGGCACTGAGATGCCAAGTGCTCTGGGCCACACACTGCACAAGCTCAGAGCAGAGACCCAGAGAAACCCAACTGGGGTGACAGACAAGGCACAACAGTTCTGCCAAGTCCGTCAGCAACGATACCAAGCGCAGCACATCAGATACACCAACACTTACTTCTCTTTTTGGGTCCAGACTGGATGAGCGTTTTCTAATCCAGTGGTGTCCCCCAGAGCCAAACAAGCCTCAAGTTTGCTGCTCACGCCAGGACTTAAAATCCTGTGCGTCTGTGGATCCCGCAGAGGTGTCTGAAAAGTCACCTGTTGGGGAGGGAGGGAGGGAGCACCTATTCAATAATTCAAGTCTTCCACCAGCACTGGCTCTGCTGCACTCTGCCTGCCAGCTCAGCTAAGTCACCAGGAAAGCAGGTCCCAGGGTGACCTAAGGCGTGACAGAGGGTCAATCTTACACGGCCAACACTCACTCACCTTCATAGCTTTGGCTACGCTCTTGGGTGGCACATTTTCTTTCTGTGACAGACGGAGAACAGGCAATCTTCCACTAAGTTCCGGTGGTGAAAACAGGAAGTTGCAGTTTTCTGCACTTTTGTCATCGGCGACATTTTCGTCATTGAACATCAGCAGACTCATTCTGGAGGAGACGGTTTGTGTCACTGTGAGGGCCGCAACACCCGGACGCAGACGTGACAGTGAGAGCTGGCCCTGCAGGCAGGGTCACACCTCAGGCAGTGTCCTCTGCCAAGCAGTCCCTGTTCTACTTCAGTGCACTATGATTCCTCAACGGGGCTGGGTGCGGCCACCTCTGAAGACCAAGCCCTAGAAGGGCCTTCAGCCAGGAGGAAGGACCAGGTTCTCACTCAAACCCTGTGGGTAAAAAAGCCAGGAGACAGGTAAGGGCTGGCCTGGGAGAAAATCGGAGGCAGAGAAAGCCGTCTCCCCAAGGGCCTTGGCTGGAGGAGGCGGCCAAGTCAGCAGAGAACAGAAAGGCTAAGCTGGAAAGTGGGGAGCGGAGAGGGCAGCAGAAGGGCCTGGCCCAGAGGAGCTGGAGAAGGAAAGCAGCAGCAGGGGGCGGGAGGGGCGGGAGGGGCGGATCACAGGATCACTAGGCCCGGAGGGAGAGGAGGGGCTTCTACAGGGGCCGGGAGTTTCATCAACACTCCAGGTGCCTCCAGTCAGGCCCTGAAGGTTCTAGAGCAGCGCCCTCTTCCTCCTCCCCCTCCTTGTGGTGGTCACCAACATGACCTTTCCAATCTAGGAGCCGCCAGAGCCTGGGCATGGACCTGCGGGGGGACACCAGGGTACCTGCTGGGGGGGGGGTGTCCCCAGACATTGTGTGGCTCAAAGGGCAAGGCCAGGTGGCGGGGAAGAGGTGGGGTGTGAGGTGTGTGGACTGGATGCCCTGGGAGGGCGCCCGCGGCCCGAGGGCAGTGGGCAGGGCGGCTCCGGCAGCAGGGGCGCGGGCGTGGCCACAGGCCAGCGCGCTCGGGGCCGAAGCAGAAAAGACCCACCAAGGGGGCCTCGGAGGCTGCTGGCTGAGCACTGGGGTAGCACGGGCAGGGGGCAGCACAGCGCTGGCGGTCGCCTCACGGTTCGGCTTAGGCTTGTGCTGCCCACGGGGATCCCGGGAAAGCTCGGGAGCCAGAGATGGGGGGCGACTCCCCGCGGAGAGGCCGGTCCGGGGACAAAGGCTGGGGCTGGGGCCGGCGGAGACGGGCCTCCAAGGGCCACTGCGTGTGGAATCCGAGCGCACGAGGTCCCGGGGACCGAGGGGTGGCTCACGGGCCGCGCCTGAGGGACCGACCGTCCTGCAGGACGACCGGAGACGGCCCAGCCGGGAGTTGGAGGCGAGAAGCAGCGGCGCCCCGAGGACGGGCCATGCGAGGGGTGGGCGTGGGCGGCGTCCACCTGCACCGTAGGGGCCGGAGGCTAGAGCGGAGCCCCGAGCCGGGGAGCCCGGGAGCCGGGGAGCCCGCCGCCTTACCTGCCGGCCGGCGCGCGAAGCCGAGGAGGGAGCAGGAGGCGCCGAGTCCCGGGGTCCGTCCGCCCGCCGCCGATTCAAATACCGACGGTTGCTGCGCGCGGCCAATCAGCGCAAGGTCGAAGGCAGGACGCACAGGGCGCCAACGCCAATAGGAGGGCGCGCTGGCCAGCCACGCCCCCTAGCGCGTCGCGGGAGTGCTTCCGGGGCGAGGGGCGGGCTGGGCGCGGCAGGAGCCGGAAGTCGTTGGAAGTCGCGGCTTGCGGGCCACGTGACGGGGAAGGGCTGCTCGAGGTCCGGCGGTGACTGCCGGGCCCTCCTCCAGCCCGGGGCTCGGGCTCTGCTGCGGGCGCGGAAAGGCTGGGGCCTGAGAGCGGCCCCCCCGCGTCTCAGTGTTTCCACTGTTCAGTGGGGGCAGGTGCAGCACGGCCCGCAAGGCGGGTCTGGAGCCGCTAAACACTCGCCAGGAGGGGCGGGGCCGTGCACAACCTCTGGCGGGGTGCGGGGCGCGGGAACTCCATTTCCCGGAGTGCTTCGCGGGGACCCCACTTCCTGGAGCGCCTCTCGCCGGCCGAGGCGGGACTCCATCTCCCAGAGCGCCCCGGTCGGCGCAGCCCTCGCTGGGTCGGGACGTGCGGGCCTGTTCCCCGCGCCGCGGGCGGCGGTGGCCTCGCCGCACGTCTCGGCGGCGGCGGCGGCGCGATGGACAGCCCCGAGGTCACCTTCACCCTGGCCTATCTGGTGCTCGCCGTGTGCTTCGTGTTCACGCCCACCGAGTTCCACTCGGCCGGGCTCACGGTGCAGAACCTGCTGTCGGGCTGGCTGGGCAGCGAGGACGCCGCCTTCGTGCTCTACCACCAGCGCCGCACGGCCGCCACGCTGCTGTGCCACTCCCTGCTGCCGCTCGGTGAGCCCCTGCCCTCCCCGCGGGGCTCCGGGGCCCCCGAGGCGGCGGCCGCGGGGCGCGTTCCTCCGAGAGGGGTCGAGGGAGGGTTCCGGGACCCCGGGTCGCCCCCAGAGACTGTGGGCCAAGCTCCCGTGTGTTCCCAGATGGCTGCAGCTGGTCCTTGGCAGATGGCAGAACGCAGGGCCAGAGCCCCGAGGAGGGGATGCTTCGCGCAGCGGGGGCAGTGCTGTCCTGTGGGCGGCAGTTCCCAGGAGAGGGGCGTCAGGGAACCGATTCCAACAGAGGGAGGAGGTGGCCTTGGAAAGTGGGTGTGGAAAGGGCAGGTAGAGATGGGTGACATCACGTGGGGGGGTGCCACAGGTGCAGAGACTGGAAAGCCTGTGTGTGGTCAGGACGCTCAGCTGTCAGGGCGGCGCTGGGCAGTGACCCAGGTGTAGCTGGCCCCTGGAAGGGAAGTCTGTCAACTAATTGCTTCCGGGACTGGGGGACTAGGCTGGGATCTCTGAAGGCTACAAGGCGGAACCTGGTTTGGGGCAGCAGGTGCAGCCCTGTGGACACAGGGAGCGGTTTTGAGCTTGAAAGGGAAGCAGCAGCCCTGGTGGGTGTGGAGGGCAGTCAGGAGAGGACTGGGCTGAGGCCGGAAGTGCACAGGGGCTTTCTGTCCCGGAGCAGAGTGATTCAAGGAGGCCACATCTGGGGGAGTTGGTGGAGCCTGTTTTAATAGTATTTTTTATCCTCTGGTTATAATTGATACACAATACTATATTAGTTTCAAGTGTACAACCTAATGATTGGATCTTTATGTAACTTATGAAGTTATGGCCCTGTAAATCTAGCACCCACCCGGACACCATACACAGTTAATACAATAGTATTGAGGCTATTTCCTGTGCTGTGCTCTTTACATCCCCTTGGCTAGTCTGTAACTACCAATTTGTACTTCTTAATCCTTTTACCTTTTCACCCAAACCCCCCTCCCATCTGGCAACTGTCAAAATGTTGGTGAAGCCTATCTTGTGGTAGACACAGGGCTGTGTTATTTTTTTTCAATTTGTTTTGAAAAACTTTGAAACTTTGTAGACATAATATCTATTGAAACACAACAGCCAGGCCAGTGTGGCACAGTGGTTGAGCATTGACCCATGCACCAAGAGATCACTGGTTTGATTCCTGGTCAGGGCACTCACCCAGGTTGTGGGCCTGATCCCCAGTGCGGGGCATGCAGGAGGTGGCCAATCGATTGTTTCGCTCATCACTGTTTCTCTCTCTCTCCCTCTCCCTTCCTCTCTCTCTAAAATCAATAAAGAAAAAAAAGAAAGAAAAAGAAACAACAACAGATTACCCTAAAATGCAGTGGCTTGACTAAGCGAATGTGTAGTATTAATTTGGCAGTCGTAAACCTTCCAGTGCTTCCCTTCACTGTCTATGTCATTCATTTCAACGTGCAAATAGGCCCCGTCTGGCCTGCCATGGGCCGGGCACTGACTGGCTCCCATGTCATTGTGGCCTGCCTCCATCTTTCCTTGCTTACTATGTGGCATGCAATGTCCCAGTTCTGATCTGTTCTTCAGAGAGTGAGGTCAGGATGCCAAGGGGAAATCAGTGGGCAGGTCTGGGTTGGGTGACACAAGATCTTTGTATTTAATAGCCTTTTGAGGTTTTGCTAGTTTTTTTCTGTACTCGTGTAAAACTCCGGTTGCAAGTTAAGCCTGCTTTTCTCTCGCCTGTGGTATGCTGTGGGCAAGGGTTGAGCCAGGCCAGCTGTGGAGGTGGATGAGACCCACCTAACCTGGTACTCACCCGGGCAAAGGGCCCAGCCCAGGGCTAGGGACGAGGGGTGCAAGGACAGCACTGATGCCCTTGGTGGGTACCACCAGGGGAGGTTGAGGGCCTGTCAGTTGGACCTCTACTGAGGCCACTCCATCCCTTGCAGGCTACTACGTGGGCATGTGCTTTGCAGCCTCAGAAAAGCGGCTCTACTCCCCAAGCCAGGTCCCAGAGGCCTGGCGGTTCTTTCTCCTTCTGGCAGTGACCCTGCCCACCATCACCTGCACCCTGATCTACTACTGGTCCTGGGACCGGTGGGCCCGCCACCCGTTGGCTCGAACCCTGGCCCTCTATGCCCTCCCACAGTCGGGCTGGCAGGCTGTCGCTTCCTCTGTCAACACTGAGTTCCGGCGGATCGACAAGTTTGCCACAGGGGCACCGGGAGCCCGTGTGATCGTGACAGATACGTGGGTGATGAAGGTGACGACGTACCGTGTGCACGTGGCCCAGCAGCAGGATGTGCACCTGACTGTGACGGAGTCACAGCAGCATGAGCTCTCGCCAGACTCGAACCTGCCCGTGCAGCTCCTCACCATCCGTGTGGCCAGCACCAACCCTTGGGTGCAGGCCTTTGACATCCGGTAGGTGTGCCTGTGGCGGGCGGGGCGGGGGCTCCACAGAGGCCTTGTGCCCAGCTTGCACCTGGTTCTGGTCTTTGTGCCCTTCTGGGAGGTGGTGATGGGTGGGAGTGGCTCCTCCAGTGCAACCCTTGATCAGGGCCTCCTTCCTGGCTCCATTCCCCTTGTGCCGCCACAGGTGCCCTGCTTCCCCTTTTCCCACGCTGCCCTCTGAGCTGCCTCTGCTACTTCTCAGGAAAGCACACTGGGATGTTTGGGGGCTGGGCAGGACAGAGGCTTGGTGGCTGCCTCACCTCTGAAACTTAGGCTGGAACTGAGGTCCTCTCATATTGTTCAGGCCATGCCTGACCTGTGGGACCCTGCTGGGACCCTCCTGGGACAGGCCTAGATCCTGAACCTGTCAAGGGCCATCTGTGTGTCTCAGCTGCAATCTTCCCATCCTCCCTGCATCCTTTGGGGGTGAGCAGGTGGTGCTGGGTCTGTGGTCTCTGGACTTAGGGCTGTCTTTGCTGGCTGGTTTTCACTGGGCAGCTGGGCTAGGCCTGAGCCTCCATGTTCTGTATGGTTGTGAGCACCCTGGTCACCCTCATGGCGCAGCCTTGGCCTCCCTTGATGCCTGTCCCAGCGTTCTCGCCAGGCAAGCTGGGCTCAAGGTCCTGCCCTACAGAGGGGCCTGGGTCTAGTGGCCTTCGCCCAGCAACCCCCTTTTCATGCAGGCTGAACTCCACGGAGTATGGCGAGTTGTGTGAAAAGCTCCGGGCGCCCATCCGCAGTGCGGCCAACGTGGTCATCCGCCAGAGCCTAGGTGACCTGTTCCTGGAGACGTTTGCTTCCCTGGTGGAGGTCAACCCCGCATATTCAGTCCCTAGCAGCCAGGTGGGGCTGGGCAGGGATGGAGGGGGTATGGGGGTGGTTTCCCATTGCTGGTCTCCCTTGGGCCAGGTCCTCGGGGTTGGGGGGTATCCCATGGGGTGTCCAGTTGGGCTCCTGTGACCCCTTTGGGCCACCCGCAGGAGCTGGAGGCATGCATTGGCTGCATGCAGACACGTGCCAGTGTGAAGCTGGTGAAGACTTGCCAGGAGGCGGCCGAGGGCGAGTGCCAGCAGTGTTACTGCCGCCCTATGTGGTGTCTCACCTGCATGGGCAAGTGGTTTGCCAGCCGCCAGGACCCACAGCGCCCCGACACCTGGCTGGCCAGCCGTGTGCCCTGCCCCACCTGCCGTGCACGCTTCTGCATCCTGGATGTGTGCGCCGTGCGCTGAGTAGGCCAGGCCATGGTGAGGGAGCGGCCTTGGGGGTCCTGCCAGCCCTTCCAGGGCCCCCACTGCTGCCTCGGGCAGCCGGGTCTCCAGGCCCAGGGCCCTCACCCAGCTACAGAAGGACGAAGGCATTTGTTTAGCGAGGACGTTCTCTGCTGAAGTGCTGGCAGTGCAGTGGGATGGGTCTTCAGGGCCCTGCCTTCATTTCCCACTCCCCTGGGTACGGGCGGGTACAGATCATAGAACACGGCCTGGGCCCATCTCCTGAGCATCCTGGGACCCCCGCGCTGTCTTTAAGAGACCCTGGGGTCTGCCCCAGATGGCCCTAACCTGGCCTCTTGCCTTAATTTCATGGAGCACATCTGCCCTTGGTTACATGCCAGACCCAGATTCGTCCAAGCCTGGCTGTGGTTAGTCCTGCTTCTGTTCCCAAGCCAGATGCTGGTTCCACAAAGCTGCTCTGAGGACCTGGGGCAGAACCTACCAGTGGAGGGGAGACCTAGCATGCACTCCAGGGTGAGCCCCACCTGGGGCTTCCTGGTGGCTGTTCCTGGATGAGGTGGCCCCTGCTTGCTCCTTGCCCACGGAGACCCTGGCTTCCCATCAGGAGCTGGGCAAGGGACTGGCTGCTCTGTCACCTATCCCTTAGCTGTGTGCTCCTGGGGCCACTCATCCCCTGGAGGGTCATTACCTATGTGCCTTCTGCCCCCAAGAGTCCAGGTAAGAGTCAAGCTTTAGATCCTTGGCTGGGGAGGCACTGAACCGCTGAAGGCCAAGTGCCACAGTGGCATCCTGAATCCACACAAGCTTGTCAGGATGTAGCACAGGACTGGCCACAGCCTCACAGCCCCCCCCCCCCCCCCCCCCCCCGGTTCAGAAGGGGACATATCCAGTGGTCAAGGAACTTATGGGTATCTTACGAATTCTTGGGGGTGCAGATGGGGTGGGGGGAGGGCAGTGCCAGGGCCCAGATCTGAGAGGCATGGCTGCTGGAGCCCTCACACTCGTGACCCTGAGCCCCACCAAAACTGGCCACCTGAAGCAGGGGTGATGGACCAGCTGGTCCAGCTCACCCAAGGTATGCCAAACCCCCGGGATTTGGGAGCAGAGGATTTGTGGGCCCTTGGGGTGCTCAGCAGATGAAGGCATTAGAGGGGGCAGCCAGGAGGCATTCCCAGCCTCAGCTTGGAGTTTCAGATGCTGCCTAGGGAGGGCCAGTATGGGGTTTCTACTGCAAAAGGAAGTTACTTAGTTTTATAAATATGTCTATTGTAGCTAAGCGATATAATATTTAATAAAATGTTAGCCTGAAGTTAAATATGCTTTCTCTAAGTGGAATATTTTGTTTTGCCTGATATTCAAGCTTTGGTAACAGTTGGAGAAGCCATCCCCTTCAACATGGGTGTTTTGTTCAGAATAAGGAAAAGGAGGCAGGTGCTGTAAGAACCTTCCCCTCCGGTTTCCTGCCTGTGGGGAGGGGCGGTGGGGGTCTCCGAAGCCCATTTCCAGGGCACCTGTGGGAGCGGGCCTGGGGCTCTGGCGGAAGGGCTGCGGGAGTTCCCCAGGAGCGCGGTGGGCGCCCAGGACCTCTGGACGCGCCCACGGGTGCGCTCTGGCGGCCCGAGGGCGCTGGCCCTGCGCGTCGGCCTCCAACCCTGTGCCTTCACTGTGGCCTGGGTGGCCCGGGTGGCCGGAGGGCGGCCGGGGCCCGCCGCTCGGGCTTTCAGGGAACGGGCGAGCTTCCCACACCTTGCTGCCCCTTCGTGTCGCCGGGCCCGAGGTTTTCAGGAAAGGGGTGCACACGAGCCACCGAGACGCGGGAACCGGCCCGGCCTCATCCCGTGCGAGACGAGTTGTATAAAGAGTGGAACGAGTCCACGCTCTCCCTGCTTTCTTCCTCTCTGCGCAGCCAAACGTTCAATATTTAAAAATTAACAAAAGCACAAGAGGTGGAGGAGGTTTCAGCGCCCTGAGCGTCCGGTTTTCCTGCCACCTTCGGCCTAGTGCTCACTGGCGAGGGCGCTGCGGGGCGGGGTGCAGGCGGGGTGGGCGCGGGGCGCGCTGGAAGTGGCAGCGGGCGGCCCACGGGCTTCCGCAGACTCGCGCCCTGGGCGCTGCCCGCCGCCGCCCCTTCCGGGTTCCCTTTCCCGCCAGCGCGGAGAACGCCGTCCCGGGCGGCCAATCGTAGGCGGTCCCCGCCCAGGCCGGGACCAATGGGAGGGCCGAGCCGCTGGCCTCCCGCGAGCGCCCGCGTCGCGCGGCCGAATCTCCCGCCAGTGCCCCTCCCCCGCCCGCGAAGGCGCGTCCAATCAGCGGCGAGGCCCCGGGCACCTCCACGCCGAGGGGGGAGGCGACCTTTTCCGGGCGCGCGCGCCGCCAGCCCCGCGGCGTCGACCCGTCCGCAGCCGGCAGCGTCCCGGTGTCTCGCGCCTCCTCAGCCGCCTGCGCGTCGCGCGTCCGAGCGGGCTCCCCCGCGGCCCGATGGTCTCGCCCGGCCGGGCGCGGGACGGCGCAGGGCGGGGCGGGGCGGGGCGGATAAAGGCGGTTGGGGGCGGGGCGCGCAGTCTGTCTGCGTCGCGGGAGAGGACGCGCCAGTGGTCGCCGCCCGGACATGGCCAGCAGCCCGCGAAGCCCCCCCAGGTACCGGAGCCGCTGCGACCGCGACGCCAGGTGAGGCCGGGTCGCGGGCCGGGCAGGGGTGCGGGGCGGCGGGCGTCGCGGGCCCGTCCGCCCGCCCTGACGCGGCCTCTCGCCCGCAGCCCGCCGCCCCCCGCGCGATGGAGCCTCGGGCGCAAGCGCAGAGCCGACGGCCAGCACCGGACGGCCGAGGGCGCCGAGGACGCCGAGGGCCCGGCGAAGCCGGCGGGCGACCGCAGACCCGACAGGTGAGGGCGCCGCGGGGAGGGGCGGGCCCTGCAGGGGCAGCGCGGCCGGGTCCTGCCGCGGCGGGGCGGCGGGGCCCCGCTCTCCTCGTGCCTGCGCCCCGCGGGGTGGGCGAGCCGTGCGGCGCGGTGTTCGGGGGCGTCCCGCGAGGGTCCGGGTGCCAGGCCCGCAGGCGGGCGTCTGCCCCGTGGGAGGGCTGCTGCTCAGTCGGGCGGACGGTGCCGGCAGACGGAGCCGAGGTAGGAGAGCCGTTCGGAGCGTCCTCGAGGCGGGACCCACGGTACGTGCTGTGCCGCTGGGGCGCAGCGGGGCGTGGAGGGCGATGCAAGGTGCGGGTTGCGTGGCGCGGGGTTGCGTGGCTTGTCTTTGCGGAGACGGGGAGGACGGGCAGCAGGCCCGGCTGGGGAAGGGCCCCGTGGTCAGGCGTGGAGGTTCCCAGGTGAGCAGGAAGGCGCGGGGAGCTGATGGGGTCTCGAGAGGGTGGGAGGCCTCGCCTGCTGCGCGCAAAGGGGAGGGGTTGGCGCCTGTAGGAGGCGTTCAGAGCTGGGCTCGGTGGGGTGACCTGGGAAGAGGTGTGAGAGCGGCCTCGGGCTAGCTGGGAAGACGGGCGCAGGGGTACGCGGAGATCAGGCTCCGGACCGCAGGCCTCCAGTGGGCCTAGCTGCAGGTAAGGGTGGTGTGTCCCCACGGGTACCCTCTAGCTCGCCGGTCAGCCACAGGGTCTCCTGACTTTCCCAGTGTGGTGGGGATGCTCCTGGTCTGGGGCCTTTCACCTGCCATCTGCTCTGGGAAACCCCGGTGGGGCCAGAGTGGGGCTGCACGCTGCATGCAGGTCCCGGGGAGCCGGCCAGCTGCTGCCCTCACAGGGCGGAAGTGTCCCTCTGGAGGGCGGTTAGCTCGGTGTGAGCACAGGCTCTGCTTCCACTGGGCCCTCTCCCCAAAAGTACTCTTGTCCTAGGATAGGGTAGGTGGGTGAACGTACCCCGTCTAAGGAAAGGGTCTTAGATCCACGAAAGGTTCTGTGTGATTCTACCGAAGGTGAGATGTAGCGGAAGGTTGTTTGTCAGCACTTTTAAAAGTTTAGGAATTCGTTGTGGCCGGGAGACCAAGTGGGGGTGTTGGTGTCCAACCACAGCCAGCCTGCATTTGGTTCTGTGTCTGTGACAGTCACTCAGTCAGTTTAGCTTTTGGTTCCTTGATTTCACACCCTGCCAACCACTTTCAGACTCTGGAAATTAACTTCTAGAAATCCAGTTTGAATTTCTCCCCGTGGGTAACTTCAGGGGGAAAAGGATAATTATGTAGACGGATAATCATTTGTTACGCATTTTCAAAACATCTAGAATACACAAGTTTGCTTATTGCTGCAGTTGAAGTGAACCTAGTTTTGATACACCAGTGGTGGCCAATAGGAAATTGAGGAGGAAATATAAAAATGTAAGTTTATATCTAATCTTTAAAGCCCAGCAATTCTAACTGCCAGAACTCTTGGCACCAAGCCTTATATTCTCAAATTGCCTGATCTTGGCTAGAGGTTCCCCTCAGTTCTAGATAGAACTGAGCTCCTAGAGTCAGTTTGACCCAGTGGATGAAGTCCTAATGCAGCAGGGACGAGTGTCTATTCTCATCCCTGCCCTTCAGTTTTAATTACGATGTGCTCTATTCTGAATCTATTGTGTGCATCTAAAAGTAAATAGTAGCTACTGTTTATTAAGTAATTTCATGGTGTTGGTTGTTCTGTTTAACTTTATTAAGTGTATTATTAGGAATCTTTATTTAAGTGTATTATTAGGAATCTATTTAGTGTATAACAAATGAGTGCCTTGTTTTGCAAGTAAAAGAATGAGTTGTGTTGGGGCACCCTTCTCAGTGCTTTGCTGACTTTGTCTGCCTAACCCTCCCCTCCCCCACCGGTGGACTTTGTCCTCCGGATTTAGCCAATGCTGGTACAAGGTGGTGCACAGAAAAAGTTTAATGAATGAAGCCCAGAGAGGCCGTTGAGCATACTTCCCAAACTCAGTGAGCTCTAGTGAGTCTGGGGTGGAGATTCCCCCAGAGCCTCTCGGCACTCTCCAGACGTCCTCTGATCGTTTCCTGGTGTCCGATCTGAAAAGGAAACTGAAAGTGTGGCAGGTTCAAGCGTGCGTTTCCGTTTCCTGCAGCTTCACCACTCCTGAAGGCCCAAAGCCCCGTGCCAGGTGTTCAGACTGGGCGAGTGCCGTGGAAGAAGATGAGATGAGGACCAGGGTGAACAAAGAAATTGCGAGGTATACATTTCAGACCACTTTGAAATGTTATCTGTTGTGTTTTAAATTATAAATTAAAAAGAGGGATGTGTTAGAACTGTGGTTCTTAAAATTCTGGTCCCCAGACCAGCAACATCAGCAACTCCTGGAAACTTAGTAGAAATGTAGATTCTCAGCTTCCCCCTTACCCCCAGGGCTGCTGGAGGGGACACTCTGGGTGGGGCCTCCAGGTGAGTGTGCTCACTGAGGTTTGAGGACAGGTGTCTTAGTGGCTGCCCCTTCGGACCGCAGCTAGATTGCAGAGGACCACCATGATGTGCCCCAACCTGCTACACTAGGTGCTCCCAGCCCCACAGACTGTGGAGGTGCTCTCTTCAGATGACTGACACCTGGCTCAGGTAACAGTTTGGGAGTGACCAAAGCTCAGGGAGGGATCCCTGATTTGGAGTCTGAACCCCTTGCAGTTGGACTCCAAATTGTTTCATGTATCCAGATTCTCCCATACTCCAGGCTACGGCCTTTTCCTGAACCATAATGGCTCAGATGATGCCTCCTTAACCAGTGCTTGTCTCACTTGATAATGTTCTCACTGGTATTTTGGGGCCTCTCTCCACTTTGATACATGCTGTGCAAACCAGCTGGATGAACTTTGAGGTAAAACGTTGTGGCTCATAATTAGTTGAAATGTGTTGATCCAGGAGTGCATTGGTTCTTAATTCTGGGGAACAGGTGGCCTCAGTGTAAACAGAGGGCAGGGCTGGACTGCCTGCCCCCTGCTGCAGGGCTGGTGGCATTGGTAGCTGACTGCATAGCAAGGGCACCCACATGTGGGGTTGGTTATGACTGGTCAGGGGGCCATGAAAGTGTGTGTGGCCTTGACAGACGTGGGCCTCATGTTTTGAGGGACTTATTTATGTGGGCCTTGGTCTGTCAGCTGTAAGGTCAGGCTGTTTGACTTGGTCTGTGCAATTTCTGTGCTCTGCTCCCAGGACTTAAAACAACTTTTAAATGGACCTGTGTGCTCTGGCCCCTGCCATCCTCAGGGGGGACCATCTGCAGCTCCTGTGCTATGCAGGGGGACCCCTCTTTTTTCCTCGGTTGTCTCACAGGCCTGTCTCTGAAAATTGTCGTACTTTGCAAAATAGGCCTTCTCTGTTTGGGGCCACTCTGTTGATCCACTTTTGTGATGGAATGTGCTGCCTTTATTTACAGCCGGGCGCCTGGACCTGCTGGTCATGGCAGTCTGCCTTCTTCCCACGGGCAGGGTTGTGAGAGGGCAGCTCCCTGTACCGAATGGAGGCCGACACAACCACATCAGTGGTCTGAGCTTTGGGTTTCTGTCATACCCGAAGCCAGTCTTTGTCAGCTGGGGTCCTGGAGAGAACGAGCCCTACAGGAAGTGATGTCAAGGGCGAGTTTGCAGTTCCACAGGATGCTGGGTGCTCAGCGCCGTGGCAGACACACAGGAGGTAGACCAGTGCTCTGCTCCTGGTGTCCGGACTGCAGCAGACTTGGAGGGCCGAGGAGTTCACATCGTGGAGGGAGGCACAGTGAATGTGACATCTCTCAGACACTCGCAGGAACTTGCAGCTCAAGGTGGTCCGTGGTCTCAGTGTCAGGCATGTCTCTGCTAAGCCGCTTGGCAGCTGCTGTGGAAGCAGCCGAGTGCCTCGCGGAGCCACGAGGAGCAGGAGGGCTCGGCCCTTCGAGATAGAGAAGGAGGGAGGTGCCCCGCAGGCACACAGGGCCCTTAGCAGGTAGCGGAGGGTTAGGAAGAAACACTTTATTACTGATTTTTCTAAGGTTACAGGGTGTGGGGGTTGTACATTTCTGTGTTGCTTGGATATCAGGATATCACAACTTAGTCTGAAACCGTTAGGGTCTGTTTGGCCTTGAGAAGCGTGTGTTACACATGGGCTGAGGGCCGTGGGCAGCAGGCTTCTCTCAGAACCTGGTCGCTTTAAGCACTCACTATGACCTTGGCAAATAATCTTTCTCTTCTTATGAAAGGGAGTGACTAAGGGAGGTCAGAACGGTAAGACAACATGCTCTTACCCGGCTCCTCTCGTCAGACACCCCACTCGGAGGCTTGAGTCCTGCATTGTTCCGAAAGCACTAAGTGTTCAGTTACTTTTTATGCCTTTCTAAAAACAGCAAACATTTATTTTGCTCCCAGATACAAAAGAAAACTCCTCATAAATGACTTTGGAAGAGAAAGAAAATCATCATTGGGAAGGTAAATGCCGTTTTATTGTTTCTTTTCTAATTGGATACACCTGTAATTTGTGAACGAGAAAGTGTGAGCAGATGTGGTTTGTCATTAGCACTTATGATGAGTCGTTCTTCACTAACTGGAATGTTGTGTCTGTTGTGCACTTAACTCCTGTGTGTGCAAAGGTGTGGGCTGTCCTGGGCTCATCTGATGTGGAGCCCGGAGCACAGCCCTCGTCACTGTGCTTCTGTGTTCCCTTGTACAGTGGTCTGAGTTGCGAGTCTGGTTCTGGTGTTAATTTTATTCTCTCCAGTTGTGATTCGAAGGCGTCTTCGTCCGCAGTGCCAGCCGACCTGGAGACGGACGAAAGTGTCCTGATGAGGAGACAGAAGCAGATTAACTACGGGAAAAACACCATGGCCTATGACCGCTACATTAGAGAGGTCCCCAGGTGAGCCGTCGCGTGGGTGCGTCCCAGCCACACTGGGCGTTGCTCTCTATGGAGACCCTAGATGTGGAGCCTGACTCTGGAGCAGAGCCACCTGCTTATGTCAGCAGAGAAGGGGCTGGTGAGGGGAAAACCAGGGATAGGAGGTTTTATTTTTTTATTCTTACCTGAGGACTTTTTTTCCATTTTTCTTCAGATAGAGTGGGAGGGAGAGAGAGAGGATGAGAGAGAGAGAGAGAGAGAGAGAAACATAAACGTGAAAGGGACACATCGAGTGGCTGCCTCCCGCACGACCCTAACCAGGGCCGGGGACAAATTGCAACTGAGGTATGTGCCCTTGGCTGGAATCGAACCCATGACTCATTGGTCCGTTGGCTGACGCTCCAACTTTTGAGCCAGATTGTCCAGGGATGGACAGGAGGTTTTAAAAGTAACACATTTGCCATTTATAATGTTGAATAAACATTTTATTTCTTAAGACTCAGAGTCTTGTGAACCTAAAGTCGTTAAAAACATGGTGGGGAGCACCCTGGCGGTTAGAGCATCGGCCTGCGGTCCAGAGAGACCCGGGTTTGGTTCCCGTTAAGGGCATGTACTTCAGTTGTAGTTTGTCCCCGGCCCTGGTTGGGTTGTGTGGGTGGCAGCCGCTTGATGTGTCCCTTTCACGTTGATGTTTCTCTCTCTTCCTCTCTCCCTCTCGCTCTGTCTGAATAAAGAATGGAAAAATGTCCTCGGGTGAGGATTAAAAAATAAACAAAAAAAAAACATGGTTGGGAGCAAGTGAAGTTCACCGTAAAGGTCTCCCTGAGCACAGTGCGCAGTGCCCGCGTGGAAGGCAGCTCCTGCTCCTTCAGGGCACGCTCTAGAGTGCGGCGCCTCCTGCGTAGGGTCGGGGTTCAGGTGCACTCTCCGGAGCACAGACTGCAGAGGAGCAGCAGGCAGAGAGGTGGTGCTTTTTAGGCCATTACTTTGCTTGCGTTGTAGAAGATTAGTTGATCTATACTTTTTTTTTTTAATTTTTTAATCCTCACCTGAGGACACCTTTCGATATTTTGTTCAGATAGAGTGGGAGGGAGAGAGAGAGAGAGAAACATTGATGTGAAAGGGACACATCGAGTGGCTGCCACCCGCACGACCCAACCAGGGCCGGGGACAAACTGCAATCGAGGTACGTGCTCCCAGCAGGAACCGAACCTGGGTCTCTGGACCGCAGGCTGACGCTCTGACCTCTGAGCCAAACCGGCCAGGGCTGATCTATACTTTTTTTTTAATCCTCACCCGAGGATATTTTTCCATATTTTTTTCAGATAGAGTGGGAGGGGGGGAGAGAGAGAGAGAGAGAGAAACATCGACATGAAAGGGACACATCGAGTTGTTGCGACCCGCACAACCCCGAGGTACATGCCCTTAGCGGGAACCAAACCTGGGTCTCTCTGGACCGCAGGCCGATGCTTTAACTGCTGAGCCAAACTGGCCAGGGCCGATCTATATTTTTAAAACAATACTAACCTTAGAATTGGTTAGTCTTTGGGCTGTGTGCCAGGATAGTCTGCCTCTCCCATAGGCACCTTCGACAACCCGGCATTCATCCCAAGACCCCCAACAAATTCAAGAAGTACAGTCGGCGCTCATGGGACCAGCAGATCAAACTCTGGAAGGTGGCCCTGCATTTTTGGGACCCTCCAGCTGAAGAAGGATGTGATTTTCAAGAAATGTATGTCTTATTGCCTTCTTGTCCTCTGTTTCTGCAGCTTGTGCCCTGACTGGGATAGCTCTGTCACCTGTGTGCCAGGCAGGCTGTCAGACAGCCCGTTGTCAGAGCTTCCTGTGGGTTGTGTGTGCAGGAGTGTTTAAAGCTGAAGGGGTGGGCCCTGGGGTGTGTGGGGAGGAGCCTGCTTCCCAGGCTGAATTCACTTTTTGTAGCTAGGGAAAACAGCTTAGAACACCTAGAAATATATGGGGTTCTGTTCATTTGTTTTTAAGATAAACATCCTAAAAATTATTTGAGCAATTATTTTTAATTATGAAAGTAGGTATTTTATATATTTTTTTAACTCGAAAAGGTTTTTATCTTTTCCCTGTTGGTTTTAAACTGTGCCCAGTTGGAAAGCTCTCAGGCCTGAGTGTCTGCTGCGTGGTCAGGACGCCGGTCGCAGGCGGCCGAGGGATGCTTGCACTGCCGTCTCCTGTGCAGTTGCTTGAACTTCTGCTCAGTGCTGGGGAAACGTATCAGAAATGTTGTGTCTGAAACTACTTCTGACATGGCTTGTAAATTTGGCCTTGCAGATAGCATGCCGGTTTTCTCCTAGTGTGAGAACACTGTCCCACTCTACGTGTGAAAAGTTGGAAGAGTAGCGATGAGGTGTCGTGTAGTCTGTCACAGTTCATCCCCCCCCCAGATTGGGCTTATTGGTGCTTCTCCTTACTCGGGTGCTCATGGGTGAACATAGCTCCGCCGTGGTTGAGCTGGGGCCCATGGTTGGGCTCTGAGCCATGGACTGCCACCAGCCTCCCTTCTGCCTGGCAGGGCGGGGGTTCATTCGGCACGTGGGAGTCCCTGAGAACGGTTCTTCTTCGGGGCAGCGCATATTGATGGGGCTTCCGGCGAGCAGACTTGGAGAACTGCCTGCACTGCGGGTCTCCTCGCTTTGTTGTCGGTGACTGATGCCTGTCTGATTTCACAGACACCCCGTGGACCTTGGGGAGATGGAGACTGAGTCCACAGAGAGCAGCTCTGAGTCCCAGGCAAGCTCTCAGGATAATAACTTGGTGAGTACCTCTCCTTGGCCCCGTCTCGGTGAGGGGCCAGGCTCGTTGTGGACGGTGCGCAGTGTGACCGGGCTGCCTGTGAGGAGGGCTCCTCGCCCTCCCTGGACAGCCGGCAGAGTGGTTTGATGCGGTCCGAGGCCGTGGCCTTACTTGGTAGGTGGAGTCAGTGTGTGTGACCCATTCCCCTCCAGTTCAGCACCTGTACGGGCACAGCTGTGCGTTCACTCAGGCCGCAGGGGTTCGAGGGGTGAGCTGCTGGTTGTTGCTGCATCAGGTGCCTGTGCCCAGGAGTTTCCCCGTGGCTGCCAGTTCTAGAAGAACCCCATTTTCTCCCTGGTCAGTTTGGTCAGTGGTTAGAGCGTTGACCTGTGGACTGAAAGGTCTCGGGTTCAATTCCTGATAAAGAGCATGTACTTGGGTTGCAGGTTTGATCCCCACCCCAGATGGGGTTGTGTGGGAAGCAACCAATCGATGTGTCTCTCTCACATCAGTGTCTCTGTCTCTCCCTCCCTCTCTCCTTTCCACTCTCTCTGAAAATCAATGGAAAAATGTCCTTGGGTGAGGATTAACACACACAAAAATTCCATGTTTTTGAGTGGAAAATTCCAAGATTAAAAGCACTTAAATGAAATGGCCTCATTTTCAATTCCATAGTTACTGGTTTGGTGCATGTTATTGCAGACTTTTTTGTTTTCTTTTTAATGATTTTAGAGAGAGGAAGGAAGAGAGAAACATCAGCTTTTTGTTCAGCTTAGGCATTTGTTGGTGGAGTCTTGTATGTGCCCTGACCAGGGATCGAACCTGCAACCTTGGCATATTGGGATGACGCTCTAACCAGCTAAGCTGCCCGGCCAGGGCTCCTGCAGACTTTTCTGCATGTGTCCAGGCAGATCCACGTCAGCAGTCCACAGGGACAGGCCCCCTGACCCTCCTCTCGTCTCTGCACATGGGAGTGTCCAGCGCAGCGAGCGGAGTAGGTCAGACACTAGGAAACATGAGTGTCGGCTGCGGAGCAGTCACGTCTCTGAGGTCACCCTGTACTAGGACCGCACAGTGCAGGGGCCTGCGAGCTAGAGCTGCTCCGCCTGCCTTTTCCCTGGTCGCCCTGGCCAGCTGGTCCCTGTCTTCCTGGCTCTGACCAAGTGCACCACACAGTGCGCCGGCTGTGGGGCTGTGGTAGAAGAGGCACACGTGTCTCACAGTGGAGGAAGGGACGGGCACACACAGTTTACATTGTGAGGAATACCGCTGTCAGGCTGTTTTGAATACTGGCAATGTGGGGAAGTTGCCGAGGAAATAGAAACAGGAGGTTCACTACGGGACGCTCCCAGAAAGGCAGATATCTCGGCAGGGGGTGTCCTTGGTGTTGCCGCAGAGGCAGAGGAACTCCGTGCCGATTCTGAACAGAACTGTGCATGTGGCTCATGGTCTCAGAAGTTGGGAAGGACGTGCAGACCTTGGGGGTTGAGGGTGGTGGGACTGTGCAGGTGCGAGCGGGGAGCCCCAGACCATAAAGGCGAGACAGGTCCTGGGGTCACCACGGAGAGGTGCTCCGAGATGGCTGGATTTAGTGCCATGAGCACCGGGTGACCGTCTGCTGTGTGGGCCTTAACCACCCCTGTGGGCTGTGAGGGTGGGGCTTTGCCCGCAGCACTGGGAGCTCGGGGCTGTGGTGCAGGACAGGCAGCCTCGCTGAGACGGCGCTGGCCAGTGCGCAGTTCATACTCGGGGCCTTGGCTGCCCAGCAGGTTCTCTTAACAGGTCCTTTCTGTTTTTATTCAGAACTTAAGCAAGGGCTGCACTTCTAAATTGACAGTTTGATTTTTCTTTTTTTTTGAATAGTCTCCCTGCCTTTACCCCCATGATGTTGACCTTTTTTAAAAACATTCATTTAAAATTTTGGTTTTAGTTGGAATAAACATTGGGCTTCAACTGGTTTAAACTCCCTAAATTGTAAACTCTAACAACCTGAATTTATTTGAATGTATGACCCTTCCATTAAACTTATTTATTTATTAAAAAAAATTTTTTTTTTCCTTTATTGATTTCAGAGAGAGAGGGAAAGTGAGAGGGAGAGAGAGAGAGAAACATCGAGGAGAGAGAACATCGATTGGCTGCCTCCCGCATGCCCCCGACTGAGGACCGGGCCCACAACCTGGGCAGGTGTCCTGACCAGGAATCGAACCGGAGACCTGCTGCCTGGGTCGATGCTCAGCCACTGAGCCACACCAGCCAGACCCATTAAACTTTTTTTTTTTTTTTTTTAATCCTTACCCGAGGACATTTTTTGATATTTTGTTCAGATAGAGTGGGAGGGGGAGAGAGAGAGAGAGAGAGAAACATCGACGTGAAAGGGACACATCGAGTGGTCGCCACCCACACAACCCAACCAGGGCCGGGGGCAAACTGCAACTGAGGTACGTGCCCTTAACGGGAACCGAACCCGGGTCTCTCCAGACCGCAGGCCAACGCTCTAACCGCTGAGCCAAACCAGCCCGGGCCCCATTAAACTTTTTAAATGAAAAAAGCGAAATGTGTTCATTAAGGCAACCAGAAATATATTAAACTAAACGCTCACTTGTGTCCTGAGAGCCACTGTCATGCGCCGTCTGGTCTCTGCATTCACTCTGCATGTACAGAAAGCATGCATGGTGTACACCTGAACTCTACGGTGCCTTGTATGTAGCATATCCGAGGTGGGAAGGGGCTGTCCTCGGTCCCCCTTGCTGGAGCGGAGGCAGCTCTTCCTCTGCTGGTGAGCAGGTGCTCAGTAGTCTGGGGTGACTGATCGCGAGTCAGAGCGATGCAGGTCTAGTGCGGCAGCTCTGCTTCCTCCTGGTCAGGTGGAGTGGCTGCAGCTTGGGGGCCTTAAAGGGCCAACTGGTTTCTAACTTGGAGGGAGGTGGGTAGTGAATAGGAATTTGACATGCCCCAGCTAAAATACATTTTGATGTTATCTGTGAATTTTTTTTTTTTTTTATCCTCACCCGAGGATATTTTTCCATTTTTTGTACAGATAGAGTGGGAGAGAGAGAGAGAGGAAGGGAGAGAGAGTGAGAAACATCGACGTGAAGGGACACATCGAGTGGCTGCCACCCGCACGACCAACCAGGGCCGGGGACAAACTGCAACCGAAGTACGTGCCCCTAGCGGGAACCGAACCCGGGTCTCTCCGGACCGCAGGCCGACACTCCAACCGCTGAGCCAAACTGGCCAGGGCTTATCTGTGAATTTTATTAGCTGTTGTTTTGAACTCTCTCATGCGCTCCAGCATCCCAGGCCTTTGCTGCTGGTAATGACCGGTCTTAGGCTGTGGCCATAGGAGGTGGCCCTCGCTCCTTCAGTGGGATTAGCTCCTGGTTGCAGGTCCCGGGTGTGAGGAACTAGCTGTGACCATGCCTCTGTTTTCTAGGACATGGACTCTGGCACACCCACCAAGGTCAGACACGTGGACTGCCAAGTGGAGGACGAGTTTGACTTGGAGGCTTGTTTAACCGAACCTTTGAAAGACTTCTCAGCTATGAGCTAACTGGTGCGGAGGCCGCAGAGAGCAAGGCCCCTCTCCCTGGCCAAGTGAAGGGCCAGCCAAGCGTGCGTCGTGCGTCTGTCGTGGGGCAGCTCCTGTGAATAGTTTATGTCACATGGTGAATTGTCATCTTTGCCTTATTTTCTTCAGAAACAATGTTATGTATAGTGAGTGTATCCTGCATGTTTTAAATCGTAAATGCGACTAAATGCAATGAAAATTAAACTTGAAGCAATCTTACAACAGACTTAATTGCTTAGTCCCCACCATCCCCACGTTTGCCTGACAAGCACATTGAACTAGCTTCCCGCCATATTTCAGACATTCAGACATCCAGTTGCTGCTTGTCAGGGGGTGGTGTGGGTTTAACTGTGTTCAGGGACCAGTCTCACATCGGCTTTCTGTACTGGTATCTGAGTGTTCTCACAATCGGATCCTTTAATATCTTCATGGAAACTTAGTTTTTGGCCTTTTGTCAATATGTCAAGGTGTCTTTTTCCCACACACAGCACTGAATAGTCAAGTCACTAAAGTGATAGGTCCTATGTGAGTCAGACAGTCTAAATCAGGTGCTTGTAAACAGCACCAGGTAGGCCTTCTGCCGATTATACTCCAAGAGTTAAGGCAGCAAAGGGATTTAGAAAGAACGTTTTTTACACAGTTAATTTACCATGTAAAATTGCTGTAAATGATAATGTATACAGATTTTCTGTTCAAACATTCAGTTGTAAACTTCTTGTTAAGACTGTTGTTATGTTTTTATTGCTTTTGTATGGAATGAGATTGCAAAAATAAAAAGAACCTTTAACTGATTTATTGCATTGCTAAATAGGCTAACTGCCGAGACAGTTCTTGTGTTTGGAGGATCGTGTGAGGTTCTGTCCTTACCTGGCCCTGAGAGTGACAGAATTGTGGCCCTGGCTTCTCTCTCTCTCTCTCTCTCTCACACACGCACACGCACACGCACACACACACTGAGGAGGACCTACTTAATTATGGGTTTGGGGCTGGAGCCAGAGTAGACACATCCAGTGTGCCCAGCACTCAGACGCCAGGGACCTGGGTTTGATGCTATTTTGGCATCTGGGGTGGCAGTCTTTCCCTGTCTGCACAGTCTCCCTGGCGCAGAGCGAGTATTGGACCAGGTCCTGAGGGGCTACCCTGCCCATGGTGTCTTTTTTTTTATCCTCACCCGAGGACATTTTTTTGATATTTTGTTCAGATAGAGTGGGAGGGAGAGAGAGAGAAAAACATTGATGTGAAAGGGACACATCGAGTGGTCGCCACCCACACGACCCAACGGGGGCTGGGGACAAACTGCAACTGAGGTACATGCCCTTAGCGGGAACCGAACCTGGGTCTCTCCAGACCACAGGCTGACACTCCAACCGCTGAGCCAAACCGGCCAGGGCCCATGGTGTCTTTCACAGTCTCACGTGGACCTGGCTTTTCTACCCATAGTTACTGCCACCAACCCACGGCCACACCCCCAAGGACACCCTCTTGGAAGTGATGCTAAACTCCAAGAGCCGAAGGGCTTTGGCCACTTTGTTCGAGGTGTTTCAGAGGGGCAGAAGCCTGCCTCTGATCACAATGCACTGTCCAGTAGACGGGACGTGCAGGAAATGGCGCCCCAAAGTCTGCACTCGTTCCTGGATGGGGACAGAAGATAGTAAATACGGTGTCAGGTTAAAGGTTAGGAGTAGAAGAGGGTAGGGACGAGGGGTGACTGGGTGGGGGGACCTTGCCATTTTCTATAGGGTGGTTGGGAGATGCCTGATGGCATTTCAGCAGGAACAGCTGTTGGGAAGAGAACTCACCCCAGAGGGCAGCAGGTGCAAAGGCCTGAGGGGACTGGTGTGCAGGCTGCCAGCCAAGTCCTCAAGTTTGGGAGGCTGGGCAGTGGGTGCCTGGAGGGTGCGGGGGCAGGGAGAGCAGAGATGTCGATGCTAGCGTGGTGTTGGGTAATGGGGGCAGGGCTGGATGGCTCTGAAGGTGCCTCTGGCTGCCTGCCGCTGACACCCAAAGGTGAGGAGAGAAGCTGGTGGTCCCTGTGTGGAAGCGGCCCTGGATAGTCTCAGTTCTCATCCTTTCCAGAGGGTGAATGAGGCTAATGCTTCAGAGAAGGCCTCCGAGCAGAGCCGAGACGGGAGGCCCGCCGAGAAGACGCGGTCTGGCCGAGGCTGTGGCCGGCGGGCTTTGTTAAGGCTGTCCTGGTGCGCGTCCATCCATCAGCAGCTTCCGAGAGAGTGACCTTCTTTCCCAGCAGGAGCCCGAGACAGAAGGGCTTGTTTTGAGGAGACCTATGCATGTGGCTTTTGTCAAATGAACCCCAATACGATTCACAGGAGACTCAGAAGCTTTTGAAAGAATTATATTGGCAAAAACACTGCCAGTTTGGACTGGAAAGGGCAGGCAGTGTGAAGTGAAGGCACTTGGGCCCTCTAGTTGCCACGGCGAGCACTGGGATGGAAGCGGTGCAGCTGCAGACAGGCCGGGGCATGGAGGTCCCTGACAACCCCGGGGCTGCAGAGACCACTTCCATGTGTGTCCTCCCCTCCCCACCCCTGTGCTTCCAACGGGAGCGTCTATAACAGTTCCCCTGGTATGTTGCTGCGTGTGTGCCCGGGGGCCAGGGACAAGAGGGCAGATACGTGGTCTCTTCAGAGGTCTCCAGGCTGAGAGCTCCCACCCATCCAAGGAGAGCCGATCTCAGCGTGAGGTTCTGGACTTGGGGCTGGTGCTGTACGAGGGTGAGATTGGAGGCCTGGGGAAGACTAAGTGACTGTAGTGGAGGGTGATGTGGGGCCTTAAACTAAGCCAAAGAGGCTGGGCTTGCGGGAGCAGGTGAGTGAGAGGTCAGAGTTGGGGTCTGCAGTGTGCGTGGGCTTTCCTCTGAGGTGAGCAGCTGGGGCGGTCAAGCAGGGACATATCTCACTCAGGTTCTAGAAGAACCTGCTCTGGCTACTAGCTTTTGCTTCGCATTTAAATTCTTGGAATGCTCTTAAGCCCCAAGAAATCAATCTTCAGGCTTTTGTGTTCGCCTTTTAATGTTGTTAACATAATCTAGTATTTTCTGTATGAGTTACAAATAACCAATAGGCTGGGATTGAGTTGTCTTTATTCTTGACTCTTGTACATCGAACCAAGAAGTGTCAGAACTGAATTAAGTTTGTCCAGCATGATTAATTCTTCACAATTCCAGCTGATTGCTATCTCGGTCCCATTGGGGATTCATTTTCCTATCTTCCCTTGTATAGATGGACGTGGTCAGCTTATCAGGGTTGTCATCCTACATCCTCTCACTTCCTTTTCTCATGTATTGTGAAGCCATTCTTGTTTCTGCTGGTCCATCAGGATCCTGTCCTCCGGCGGCTTTTTCAGCTTCTTGGCCATTGTGGCCGATTCCTCAGTCCCTTTGATAAGGTGACGTCGCTGAGCCTCCCAGGTGAGTCAGCAGCCGCTGCCTGAACCCAGAGTGCATTTCTGGCCCCAAGTGGGTGGTTCTTCTCTAATTTTTTTTTTTTATCCTCACCTGAGGGCATTTTTTTGTTCAGATAGAGTGGGAGGGAGAAAGAGGAAGAGAAAGAGAAACATCACCGTGAAAGGGTCACATCGAGTGGCTGCCACCCGCACGACCAACCAGGGCCGGGGACAAACTGCAACGGAGGTACAAGCCCTTAGCGGGAACCGAACCCAGGTCTCTCTGGACCGTAAGCTGATGCTCTAACCGCTGAACCAAACCGGCCAGGGCAAGTGGTTCTTCTAATAAATGCAGAGTTTACAGTGTCTTTTTCCTCCGTGCAGGCGAATCTGAAAGATCTGGGTAAAGTTACATTACCGCACTTGGCCAACTGTGAGTGCTTTGCGCATGAATTTGTGAGCTGTCTTCCTGGAACCAGGGTTGGCTCTATATGTGTGTGGGGGGAGGGATGGGGGGTGGAAAGTGGGCCTTTGGAACATTAGGCTGTGTATTAATTTTTTGTTTAAGAATCTCAAGGTGTATTGGTTTTGTTTTATTTGTTGTTGTTGCTGTTTTGTTTTTTCTTTTTAATCCTCACTCGAGGACATTTTTCGATATTTTGTTCAGATAGAGTGGGAGGGAGAGAGAGAGAAACATCCACGTGAAAGGGATACATCGAGTGGTCGCCACCCACACGACCCAACCAGGGACAAACTGCAATGGAGGTACGTGCCCTTAGCGGGAAGTGAACCCGGATCTCTCCAGACCGCAGGCCGATGCTCTAACTGCTGAGCCAAACCGGCCAGGACTTGTTTGCTTTTTCATGGGCAGACTTTAATTGGACGTAAGCCACTTGGTAAAACTCACACTTTGAAGATACAAACAGTTGTGTGCCCGCCAGGTACAGCACCATGGCTTGGAGCTATGGGACCGAGGCCCCAGGCCTACATTGACCACAGTGACTTCACAGTTGGTCCAGCGTGGACTGGAAGATTACATGTCAGCTTGAGTGGACTCCAGCCGAGAAGAAAGAAAAGAAATTCTTTTTTTTTTTTTATCCTCACCCGAGGACATTTTTCCATTTTTTGCCCAGGTAGAGTGGGAGGGGGAGAGAGAGAGAGAGAAAGAAACATCGACGTGAAAGGAACACATCAAGTGGCTGCCACCTGCACGACCGACCAGGGCCGGGGACAAACTGCAACCGAGGTATGTGCCCTTAGTGGGAACCAAACCCGGGTCTCTCTGGACCGCAGGCCAACGCTCTAACCGCTGAGCCAAACCGGCCAGGGCAGAAAAGAAATTCTTAATTGCTGAGTGATGTGTCAGAGCATAAACTCCCAACCCATAACTTTAAATTAAAATGACGTGAACTTTCATGCTTTTAAAAGAACCAGTTTTTAGCCCTGGCGGGTTGGCTCAGTGGTTGGAGTGTTGGCCTGCGGACCAGAGAGTCCCGGGTTAGGTTCCTGCTAGGGGCACGTACCAAAAAAAAAAAAAAAGAACTGCCCTGGCCGATTTGGCTCAGCGGTTAGAGCATCGGCCTGCGGTCTGGAGAGACACGGGTTCGGTTCCCGCTAAGGGCATGTACCTTGGTTGCAGTTTGTCCCCGGCCTTGGTTGGTCGTGCGGGTGGCAGCCACTTGATGTGTCCCTTTCACGTCAATGTTTCTCTCTCTCTCTCTCTCTCTCTCTCTCTCTCTCTCTCTCTCTTCCTCTCTCTCCCTCCTACTCTATCTGTGCAAAAAATGGAAAAATGTCCTCGGGTGAGGATAAAAAAAAAAAAAAGAACTAGTTTTTAGTTACATACCTTTTTAACAAAAATGAAAAAGATGCATATAAAGTTTTCTGAAAAAACACTCCCTCAGGGTAGGTGTGTAGGAAGAAAGGCTCCAGATAGTGGCTCTAGGGGACTTCAGGCCTGGTGTTCCAACAAAGGCACCGACTGTGTAAGGTGCCCAGGAGTACGCCCTGGCCTGGACATCAAGGGTACTTTGTGGGGTGAGGAATGCAGACCTGCCATCCAGCCCCAGCTCTGTCTCTTCTAGCTGTGTAACAGGGCTTTGTGTCCCCGTCTATAAAACCCGGCTAATAGTGTCTACCTCATAGGCTGGTTCTAAGGATTAAAGGACAGTGTGAATGCTACCTGCTTACTAATACTTGGCAGCGGCAGCTGTTACGGTCAGAGGGCCTGGCTCAGTGCCTCAACAAAGTCTGCACATTGTTAACAGGCTGGGCAGGGATGGTCTTCAGTCAAGATGAATCACTTAGGCACTTGGGAAGTGGGAAGTCTACCACGGAGCAGTCCTAGTGGCTTCGTGGAGGCTTAAACGTGGTTGGGTCTGCCCCTGGAGGGGTCCTGGAGCCTGGACCAGTGCACGATATTCGCCCATGTGAACACCATGCCACATGAGGTTATGTGGCATGCCCCCCAGTGGCCTTGAATGCGACTTTGAGAGGGGTCCAGGTGTGACAGGCCACCAGCGTGCTAGTTGTGCTCTAGGGAAAAAGCAGATTTGAGTTTCCCAAGGACCCTTCGTTTCCTCCTTGGGCAGAGGTGACAAAGGTAGGCAAAGCAAGGCTGTCTTGGTTATCTGTCGTTACATAACATTCTGCAAACCCAGTGGCTTTGCAAGGGAGGCTTCTTATCTGAGCTTCTGTGGCGAGTTGGGTCCTCTCATCCAGGCCGTGAGAGGGTTGCAGAGAAGGTGTCAGGGGCCCAGAGCCTCCCCTGAAGGCTCCGCTGGGGAAGGAGCCATGTCCGGGCTCACTCAGGTGGTTGCTGGCAGGATCTGTTCCTCACATGCTGTTGGCCAGAGGTTGTCCTCTGATCCTTGCCAGTTGGGCTTCTCCATGTGGCAGCTGGCTTTGTCGGAACCAGAAAGATGGATGTCAGTTTTGTATAACTGATACCGGAAGCGACAGCCTCTCACTTCTTTGGTTAGAAAGTGGGCAGCCCACCCTCAAGGAGAAGGGATGACACAGAGTGGACTCCTAGGAGGGCACTGTTGGAGCTGTGCTCGAAAGTCGGCCTTCTTCAGGGGCCCTTGACGCCCAGTGATTGGACATGCACAGCCCTGAACCCCAACCCAAATCTCACACTTCATCCCACAGACTTACATGAAAAGTGAAAGTATCACACTTGAAAATCGATTGGATTTAGGGCTAGGCAGACGTCTTAGACTTGACACCAAAAGCACAATCCATAAAAGGAAAAACTGAAACTGGGCCTTGTCGAAGGAGAAACTTTTTCTGCAGGAGAGAAAATCTTTGCCAACCGCATAGGGGCCAACGGACTTGTACCTAGAATACATACAGAACTCTCAAAACCAACAGCAAGTAACAAATCCTATTAGAAAAAGAGCAGAGGGGCATGAAGAGACTTTCAGGTTTGTTGGGCGAGAACCTCCGTGGCTCTAGGCAGCCTTCCTGTCCACGGTGTGTGTGTGTGGGGGTGGCCGTTTCTCCGTTCACACTCAGTCATGTCCTGCAACCTTTCCCGTGAAGGTCCGCAAAGCGCACGCTCACTCCCGGGGCGTCCCCGCGGTGCCCCTGGGGCTCCGTGTTGCACCACCTATGCGCGCATCTTCCTTCGGGATTTCTTTGCAGACAACCACGCTGGGAATAATACATAATGGCAGTTTCAGTTCTTTCTTTCCAGGCCTCACAACTCGTCCTTGTTTCTCGTCTGGTATTGCCGATGGCCTACGGCAGGTTCTCAAAGACGCCAGCTCAAGGTCACACTGTGGTCACCAGCAGGGCGGGCACGCCCCGGAAAGTGGGGACCGCGGGGTCGCAGTGGATGTCCTCGAACGGCCGGGCTGCCGCCGGGGCCAAATCCTTAGCGCCAGCCAGAGCCACCGGCCTTCCCTGCCACCATCGCCTCCGCCGCCTCGGGTCGCCCCACCGCCCGCCTTCCAGAGCCGCAGCGCACGCCCACGTCGGCGTACCCCTGCCCCTCCACTGGCGCAGCACCGCCCCCTGCCCCTCAGGTCCCGCCCACTCGGACGCAGCCCCGCCCCTCCGCCCGCACTGGCCCGCCTCCTCCGTCTCAGGCCCCGCCCACCCGGACGCAGCCCCGTCCTCTCCGTCGGCGCTGTCCCTCCCCTGCCGTTTCAGGCCCCGCCCACCCGGACGCAGCCCCGTCCTCTCCGTCGGCGCTGGCCCGCCCCTGCCGTCTCAGGGCCCGCCCACTCGGACGCAGCCCCGCCCCTCCGCCAGCGTTGGCCCGCCCCTGCCGTCTCAGGGCCCGCCCACTCGGACGCAGCTCCGCCCCTCCGTCAGCGCTGGCCCGCCCCTGCCGTCTCAGGCCCCGCCCACCCGGACGCAGCCCAGTCCTCGTGCGCGCGGCGCGCTGAGGGGCGGAGGGTGGCGGAGCGAGCGGGCGGTGGCCGCGGCCGGGCGGCCAATGAGCGCGGCCGGAGGGGGCGGGGCGCGTGGTGTGCTTCCCCGCGGCGGAGGCGCGTCGGCCGTTGCGGGAGGAGCACAGCCTGCAGGGCCGGCGACTCAGTCGCTCCGCCCGGCCGGCCGTGGCCGCCGCCGCTCGGCCGCGCTCAGGTACCGGCCCGGCGTCGGCCCGCGAGGCGGCGGCCGGGTGCGTGTCCCCGCCCGTGCGTGCGCGCCCCTCGGGGCCGTGCGTGCGCGCGCCTGCGCGGGGCCGCGCGTGAACTTGGGCCGGACTGTCCAGCTGCTGTCAACGCGCAGAGCCCGGCCCGCGCGGCCCGATGCTTTGCCACCCGTGTGAGTGCCGAGCGTTTTCGCCGCTGGACCCCGAGAGCGCGGCGGGCGGGTCTCTGAGGGCGCGGGGGCCCCGGGGCTTGAGACCGGGGCTGGGACTACCGCCGCACGCAAGACTCCTCGGACCGGCCGCGGGACCCCACGTGCGCCCCGGGACCCCGCGCCCTGCGCGCACGCTCTGGCTGTCAGGGGCCGCGCCTGGGTCACGCCGCCACTTGTTGAACCGCCTTGGGTGTCGCCTCTTCGAGCTGCCGTGGTTCCTGCGGCTCCCGTGCTGGTCATGTTGTAGTCAGAGAGAAGCAGGAAGTGGACGTGACACACTGTGCGTTAAGGGAGCCTCCAAGGTGGCCGCGGACGACGGGGGGCGGCCGGGCCCGCCCAGCGACCTGCGCTCGGCGACCGCACGCGCCTGGGCGGGAGCCCCGGACTTCCTGCGCCGGCGGCGCCTGGTGCGCGGTGCGTCGAGCTTCACTTCCATTTCCCCTTTTTGTGGGTCCTCGGGCAGATGCGCGCACCTGCCTGTGGCCACGGGGCTCCTCTGCCTGGATGCGCACGTTTGCGGTGGTCGCCAGCCCTGCGCGCTCGGCCGGCTCGTCCAGGTGTGCGCGGCCTCCGCGCCTAGGAGCGGGAGCTGGAGCTGGAGCGCACGGCTTCCGCCTCTTCGGACCGGTCCGCGGTCACCTGGCGCTGTGGTTGGGTGTCCCCCGGTCACAGCAGGTCCCGGGGACAAGCGGCCCTCGCTCTGACACTTTGTCCGGATCGTTGTGAAGTCCTTGAACATAACTTTGAAATCGGAATTGTTTAGAGACAGTGACTTGTGTTTACCTTGGGTAGGGTTAGGGCAGGAGTTCCACACCGGGGTTCTTGCAGGGGGTTCTTCCGGTTCAAGTCTTCGTCGAATTTCCCAGGTTTGGCCCGTTTGCCCTTTGCGCTGTGGGCAGTGGCGGTGGCAGGCCTGGTCCCCCCCATCCCCCCAGGCTCAAGTAGATGATCCCTCTCGCTCCCCTCCATGTCCATGGACTTAGAACTTGGTAGTCTGTGATGCCACTTGGAGGGTCACTACGGAGTGGCCATGTGTGATGTGAATGGGAGCCATTGTAACGGTTCTGCACTCTGCCTGGGTCCTTAATGTTTTGTTTTGTTTTTAATCTTCACCTGAGGATATTTCTTCCATTGATTTAGAGAGAGTGGAGGGGGGGGGAAGAAACATCGAGGTGAGAGAGAAATATCAGTCAGTTGCCTTCTGCACAATCCCCATCGGGTCAGGGATCAAACCTGCAACCCAGGCATGTGCCCTTGACCAGGAATCAAACCCACGATCCTTTGGTGCATAGGCTGATGCTCTAACTACTGAGCAACACTGGCCAGGTCCATCTCTCTCTTTCTCTGTCTCTCTTTTTTTTGGTTAATCTTCATCCTGGGATATTCTTCTTTCTTTTTCTTGATATATTTTTGCCCTGGCCAATTTTGCTCAATGGTTAGAGCTTCGGCCTGTGGACCAGGGAGTCCTGAGTTCATTTTCGGCCAAGGGCACTTAACCTCGGTTGCGGTTAGTCCCCAGCCCCTATTGGGGTTGTGCGGGTGGCAGCCAATTGATGTGTTCCTCTCACATCGATGTTTCTCTCTCTCTCCCTTCCTCCCTCCCTCCTGCTCTAGCTGAAGATAAATGGAAAAATATTCTCAGGTGAGGAATATACACACACACACACACACACACACACACATATTTTAGATAGAGATGAGGAGAAAAGGGAAGAAAGATAGAATCATCATTGAGAGAGAAACATTGATTGGCTTCCTCCTGCATGCCCCATTACTGGGGATTGAGCCTGCAACCTGGGCATGTGCCCTGACCGGGAATTGAACCAGCAACCTTTTGGTGCATGGAGCGACACTCAACCCACTGATCCACACTGGCTGGGCATCCAAGGATATTTTTCCATTGATTTTTTTTTTTGATTTTTTTTTTTTTGAGAGAGTGCAAGGGAGGGAGGGAGAGAGAGAGGGAGAAGAGAAACATTGATGTGAGAGCGACACGGATCGGTTGCCATCCTGATGATCTCAACCAGGCGGGGGCCCAGGATTGAACCTGCAATCTAGGCTCATGCCCTTGTCCAGGAATCAAACCCACGACCCTTGGGTCCAAGGGCTGACGCTCTAACTGCTGAGCCAGACTGGCCAGGGTGATCTTTATGTTTTTTGACTTACATTGGGTTTGGGGGCCGCAGAAGGGGGAACAGTCCTTGTTGCTACTGGAAATTTGTAATGCAGAAATGCTTGCATTACTGTCTTTTCTTAAGTGGATGCATTGGGCCCCTCCCTGGTTGTGGAGATGTTTGCTCCTCTGCACTTATGGGCACAGGGAGCAGGCACATAAAGACTCATCTGCTCTGACTGGTAGACAAAGAAGCCAGGGGAACTCTTCGGTATTTTTCACAGGTGCATTGCAATCATTTGAAAAAAACTTAAAAAAAAATTTTTTTTTTATAGAAAAATGTTCAGCTTTTTCTGCACCAATATTTCTTTTTTTTTTTTTTTTTTTTTTATCCTCACCCGAGGACACTTTTCCATTTTTTGTTCAGGTAGAGTGGGAGGGAGGGAGAGAGAGGAACAGAGAGAGAGAGAGAGAAACATCGACGTGAAAGGAACACATTGAGTGGCTGCCACCCGCACGGCCAACCAGGGCCGGGGACAAACTGCAACCGAGGTACGCGCCCTTAGCGGGAACCGAACCCGGGTCTCTCTGGACCGCAGGCTGACGCTCTAACCGCTGAGCCAAACCGGCCAGGGCTGCACCAATATTTCTTAAAGGAGAGTTGACTTTAACAGTCTTTTAAGCATCCGTTATTCATGGTCCTAATTTAAATGTGTGTGCCAGGAACCCGGGCATTTTCATGCGTGTTATTTTATTTGATTCCTTGTGGCCTCGTGTCGTGGGTGGTTCTTTCCTGTTTTCAGTCAAGGAAGCAGAGGCTCGGGAGAACCCAGCCAGTGAGCAGGCCAGGCAGGGCGAGGACCCGCGGATTCTGTCCAGCTGATTGGACCCCACCGCCCGTCCTTTCAGTGACGTTACTTGCTCGGTTTGTCTTCTTCGGTGTGGCCGTCTGCCCGCACCCCTAGAGCGGTAACAACGATAGTCTCCATTGTATGATGCGACTTTCCTCTCCTTTGTTGACTTGCAAAGCCTGCACTTCAAACGTGGTTCCTGTGCGCGTTTTAAACCAGCTGTGCTGCTGTCCCAACCTCCTGGTTGTGGGTGTTAGTGTTACCACGACGCGGGCCGGTCAGGACAGTGATTTCTGTCTCCTGTGTTGAAGTCTCGAGAAAGACTTGGGGAGTCTTGCTTCGTTTATCAGTGGTGCCAACTTTGTGGCATCAACATAGGGCTTTGCCTTCGACTTTCCTAGGAGTCACTGCGCGGGGCCTCACACGTGCCCTGTTAAAGAACGGCCGAGCCTCGGGAACAAGTGGCATTCCGGGCCTTGCCCAATGGAAACAGTCAGGTGGTTTTGGTCTGCGGTAGGTTCACCTTTCCTTCCCAGCTCGAGTGACGCAGGAGTGGTCATAATCACTGGCTCCCACAGCCAGAGAGGGGCCTCGGCTCCATTTAAGTGTCACTGCTTTGGTTGCTATGGCAGCATAACAAGTTATCTCCAAAATATGTGGCTTCAGACCACGTTAATCCTTTATTATTGCTTGTGGTTTCGGGGGCCCAGAGTTTTGGGGCAGCTCGGTGGGAAGTCCTTGCTTAGGGGTCTCGTGCAGGCTGATCAGTGGGGGCTGGACTGGAACATCCCCTCTCAGGCACCTTCACTCCGTGCCTGGTACCTGGGTGGGAAGGCTTGGACCGCAGGGCTGCATCCTCTCGGGCTCTGGTCGCCCCACCTGGTCTCTCAGCCTGAGGGCTTTGGGTGTGTCCCAGAAGAGAGCCAGGTGGCCGTGCACCTGTTCTACTCCAGTCTGGGAAGGCCCCGGCCTCTGTCATGTTTGAGGGGCAGCTGACCCCGCCTCTTCGTGGGAGCAGAGCCAGAGGATCTGAAATCACACGCTAAGCCCACCACACTCAGATCGACAGTTAATAACTGATGTCCAGTCTGAAGATGAGTTACTGTCAAGTGCTGTTGGAGAGAAAACTGGAGAGAAAGAATGTCCGAGGACCTGGAGCCTGGTGCCACTGTGTTGGCCGCGTGCTGGGCTCTGCTTGACTGTCTTTGGGTGTGGATGGACTCTGTCCAGCGTGCAGGGGGCTCCACGGTCGTCTGCTGGGAAAACCCCGGGACCCCAGGGCCCTTGTGCTGGCAAGCCTGCCGGCACCAGCCTTCCGATCCCTGTTCCTGAGAGACGCTTGTGGGCCATGTGCTGCCTGTCAGGTCTGGGTACAGCACACTAAGCAGGAGCTCAGAAGTTGTCCCCATTTCATGCTTCAGAAACCAGCATGGATGGGCATGAGCAGTTGGTCCTGGGTCCAGATTCTAACATGACGCCTCATCTGTAGCCAATGAAGGGTCTGGGTTGAGTGCTGGGTGGGCCCCTGCCCGGGACTCAGGAGGTGGGGCGGCTGCCCCCTCCAGGTGCTTATCCACCCTAGGCCGAGCCTGGTTTTCCAGGTGAATTCGTCTATTCTGCACGTCCTTGCTGGCTTCTCCCGCATGTCCGGGACCCCACTGGTGGGGATGCAGGAGTGATGTGTGGCCATGAAGCAGCTTGGACGGTAGGTTCCCCCTTCTGAGTCGGAATGGAGAGCCGAGATGACACGCATGGAGCCCAGAGGAGGCCGAGGGAGCTGAGTCCACTCCGTGAAGGGCTGAAGAGACATCAGCAAACAAAGCCGTGCGGGAGGCTGCACGGCCTCAGAGAAGCTGTCACTGGAGCATCCAGGGCGGCGCGGGGGTGCTTGGCGGTCATGCACATGGAGCCGGAAGATGAAGTGGAGGCGGGCCTGGGAGCAAATCAGCAGCCACGGAAACAGTGGCGGAGAGCGAGGTCGGGCCAGCCGAGTGCAGGGTCGGAAACAGACCGGGAAGGGACGGAAGGACTCAGCAGTGACGAGGCCCCAGTGGCTGGGCTTCCGGGTTAGGAAGACTGTCCCAGGCCCTGTGCATGTTTTCCAACACGGGCAGGGAGAAGGGACGTGGCTGTCACCCACCACCCACCCAGGGCACCCTGCTCAGAAGGCTTCGAGATGAGGGTGAAGGCGAGTACCAGGGCCCAGCGGACAGCTGCACCTCAGCCTGACAGAGGCTGGGGACCCAGGACCAGAGGCTGATGGGCGTCCGATGTCTCTGACCAAGTGAAGGTGGTTTGTCAGGTTTGTAATGTGGAAGGTTTGGGGGGAAAAGTTTATATTGGGCAGAAAGTTACACATGAGAAAAAGGAGGGAATGATTAACTTTTTGGGGGGAACAGCTGCTGTGTGGCTTAGCTGGGAGCACCTTACAGTGATGTAATGGAGTCCTGATGACGTAACAAGGTTCCTCCAGCCCGCTGGGAGGTGTGGAGGTGGAGGAGGAGTGTTCCTCAAGGTCGGGGGGACGTGAAGTGGACCAGGCGGTGGGCTGCTGTGCGTGCCCGTGTGAAACATCCACCACACGCCTGAGCAGAACCAAGGCCTGAGGTGCCCACGGGGAGGGACTGGCGGAGCGGCGTGTGCATTGCCATGGGAAATGCACACGGCTTGTTAGAGGCTGAATCTTGTCCCCGAAAACTCCCAAGTTGAAGTCCTAACCCTAGTGCTCAGAATGTGACCTTGACACAGGGTCGTTGCAGGTGTAATTAGCTAAGATGCGTTCGTACTAGAGTAGGGGTGCCCCTCACCCAGAATGACGGGTGTTCTTGTGGAGGGGATTTTGGATGAAGACACGGGGAGAGTGATCTGGGGAGACAGAGGTGTTCTGTGGTTTGAGCTCTGTTGGGGGTGCCTAGGTTCGCAGTGGTGGAGGGACGGACGGGGTGAGACTTGGCCAGGTCCCCAGTTTGGTGTGGAGGCAGGGCCGGTGGGTTTGAATTTCTCATTGTGGGGAGAGTGGAGGTGGGTCATCATGGGACTTCTACACGGTGGGTTCACTGACAAGCAGAAGAAGGTGTCCCCTGGGCTCAGAGGATGCCCTGGTATGTGCTTGAGGGGTCACGAAGGACCATTGCAGAGCCAGAGCCGTGGGGGAGGCTGCAGTTGCCCAGCTTCCATGGGTGCTCCGAGCCCAAGTGCACTCCGGTCCTGTGCAGTGTGCAGCCCCCTTCGGCCCCTCACCTCCCGGCCAGCTGGGGAGTCCCGTCTCCCTGCCCACACCTGCCTCCGATCTGCCTCAGCCACCAGTCACCCCTCAGAGGTGTTTCTCTGGGCGCCCCCCAAACTGGCCAGCCTGCTGCTGATGGAGTCCTGCTCACCGCCCCCCTCCCCCCCAGTACTTCATCGTGATGATGATTATTTTTTAATTCTCGCCCGAGGATTTTTTTCATTGGTTTTTGGAGATGGTGGTGGTAGTGGGGAGAGAGACAGAGACATCAGTGTGAGAGCGACACATCCATTGGCTGTCCCCGTTCATGCTCCAACGTGGCATCAAACCCACAACCTAGGTGTGTGTCCTGACTGGGGCTCAAACCCACAACCTTTTAGGGTATGGGATGGTGCTCCAACTGTCCGAGCCGCCCGGCTGGGCTAAGGAGAGTGCCTGCTCATCGGCCAGACCTGCCCTGGGCTGCTGTGCCCAGGTCTATCCCCCTGGCCTTGGAGGGGGCACTCTGACCATGACCGACTGTTCGGTTTCTTAAAGGGGACCTGCTTGGCATTGTGGATTGAATTGTGTCCCCTGGAAAGCTAGACTCACGTCCTGACCATAGGATCTGTGAGTGTGACTTTATAATAGGGTCTAGCATGTGTGATCAAGCTGTGGTGCAAGGTGGCCACCGCTGCCTAGGCTGGTGGGAGCCCAGGAGCGCTGTCGGTGCCCAGCCACCAAGGCCAAGATGGAGTGGGTGGGCCTAAGATGTAGGGGAGTCAACACAGACAGCACACGCCTCTCCTGAGAGCAGCTCACGACACGCCCGCCCACCCCGTTCCCTTGGCTGTGAGCCCTGTCCACGTGCTCCTGTGGTGGACGTGTGTGCAAGGGCCGGGTGATGGTGGCACCTCCGTCCCCTCTGAGAAGCTGGCTCTGAGCCTGGGGGTTAGCGTCACCTCGAGGGTCAGTTGATTCCTGCATGTGTGTGAGGGTAGGTGGTGCTGGGCTTCGTGGACGTGGTGTGTGCGGAAGGTGGGGGCTGGGCTTTGTGGACGTCGCGTGGCGTGTGTGGAAGGTGGGTGCTGGGCTTTGTGGACGTCGTGTGGCGAGTGCAGAAGGTGGGGGCTGGGCTTCGTGGATGTCACGTGGCATGTGCAGAAGGTGGGTGCTAGGCTTTGTGGACGTTGCGTGGCGTGTGTGGAAGGTGGGTGCTGGGCTTTATGGACGTCGCGTGGCGAGTGCAGAAGGTGGGTGCTGGGCTTCGTGGCTCGGAGGTGTTCTCTGCTTTCTCCTTGGACTTGCGGATACATTTGCTAACCGGGTTGTGGAGGTGAGCTGCTTGTGTTCCTGGCTCTGCTGTGCTTTGTGGACACCCCCACCGCCCTCGTGTGGGTGATGCTGCTCAGACATGTGGGTGTCTGGAGGACCCAAGTGATGCTGCCCCAGAGGGCGACAGTAACTCAGTTGTTTGAGGTGGGGCCTGAGTGACGCCCTCATGGCCCGGAGGACCGCCCATGGGCCCCAGGAGACCTCCAGGAAGGGGGAGCCCGAGGCCGGTGGCAGTAGGAGCCCTGACTCCAGAGGTGCTGGAGGTCCGTCACTGCTGCTGTATCACTTCCCAGACTGCTCCTCGTTAAGGGTGTCCCGACCTCTGTGTGGATGTGGTGCCTTCTCCCGCTGAGGGCAGGTTGGCGGCTGCTCGGGTTTCATCCTCTCCCGCCGTGTTTTCTCCAGGGTGCGGCGTCTTCCTGTCAGGTGCTCAGAGTCAGAGCAGGCCACCAGGCAGGGTGGCGGCTGCAGGCTCAGGCCCTCTCAGTCGGTGTCCACAGGACCGGGCTCGGCTTGCTCCCTCCGCCTCCGTTTGTAGCTTGATCTGAGGGCCCACTCCAGGGCTGGCGGGCTCAGTGCGACCCGGTGCCTCCTGCGCCCCCTGCTGGGCCTGGGGCACGCTGCACCCACTCCAGCTTCAGTTGGGGGGCGGGCTCTCACCCAGTGGATGGAGTAGCAGAAGGGCGTCTAACTCCTTTGGGGTGCGGTCAGTGGTGAGGGGGCGTCCAGCAGTTCACAGGCAGGTTGTTTTTGGGTTTCTCCACTGCTGGCTGACTCCTCTCTTCAGCGCCTTCCAGCTTCCCAGCGTGTTGTCGTGCGTCCTGCCCTGTTTTCTGTCCTTCTGGAGCAGAGGGATGGGGGTCCTTGCTGCTTCAGTGGGGGCTGGGGAGGAGCTGGCTGTCGGGGTGTGTGCAGCCCGCCACCCTTCAGCCAGCACCCTGCTTCATCACCTGTCCGGGAGGGGCGGGTGCCGTTTGGAGCGGGAGGGCTCTGTCGGCAGACAGCAGGAGCGTGTTACAGAGTCGGCTCAGCACCGAACAGAGGCGTGGTGGGTGGTGCACATAGTCACGGCGGCAATTCTCTCTACTGCCCAGCAGACACGGAGCTGTGGAGCCACTGGCAATGGACCGCGTACCTGTGAAACAGAAATGCAGCCGTGAGCGCTAGCTAGACCCCACAGTGCTTGGGCCTGCTGGGCCCGATGTTCCGGAACTCCAGCGCCCGTCACGGCGGACGGAGAGCCTGGCGGGCCCCCGACCATGGTCACACTCATCACTGAGAAGCTGCAGAACCAGAGCCTGGACGACCTTGTCCACAAGAGCTATGATGCTGACCCGGTAAGCCAGAGGCCGGGGGCACTGTCCAGCTGGGTGGAGGGTGTGGGTCAAGGTCTGAGGGATGTGGGCAGTGGGGGAGCAGTGTCCCAGGACACATGTCCCCAGAGCCTGTCAGTGTCACGATGGTGGGTTTTCAGCATCATTTAAAAAAAACTCACCTTTAAAAAAACTCTTGTCCAAGGATATATATATATATAATTTTTTTAGAGACAGGAAGGGAGAGGGACAGGGAAACATTGGTTGCCTCTCATATGTACCCCAACTGGGAATTTAACCCACAACCTTTCAGTGTACAGGACAACACTTTATCAACTGAGCCACTTGGCCAGGGCAAAATACCCCCAACTGGCAACCAGCCCCCCGAGTACAGCGTGCTGCCGCCCCCACCCCCAGCCTCCGTCTCGGTCTGTTGCAGAGATTAGCTTCCCCTGGGTTTGAACCTCAAGTCTGCGGAGCCATTTTCTGCATTGTGTCAGCGTGAGTCCTAGGACACTACCTGCCTGGCTGGATTGCTATCCAGAGGAGGTGGCTGCCCGGCCCTGTGGCTGAGAGGCTGGGCGGTCTGGCCAGGGTGGGGCCGCTGGAGCTGCCCCCTCTATACCTCCTGGACCCTGGTCTGTTTGTGGCCTGTTGCTCCTTACGGTGATGAGAAGGTGGCTGGGGATTCTGGGCCTTCATGCCAGGCATGGGGCCTGATGTCACAGCAGATGGTTTGGGGGGCCCTGGGGTCCCCTGCAGGTGTTCCTTTCTGTGGAATGGGATGGCTGGGTGGGTGGGTATGGTTGTGAGTGGGTGCTGGGCTGTGGTGTCTCAGTGCAGGATGGGATGGGGCTGCCTCGCCCCCTTCAGACCGGGGCACCCTGGGGAGCCTGGCTTGGGGGCTGGGTCTGTGGGGGCTGTTGTGGTGGGAAGGGCTTGCTGACGAGGACCTGAGAGGCAAGATTTGTGGGGACACTGGTAGCTCAGAAGGGGACACCCAGCTTCAGGAGCAGGAGTGGACACGCCCTTGGCTTCTTGTTCCTTCAACTGGGTGTCATTAGGCTTTTAAGAGTCTTCTTTTTTTCTTACATTTATCTTCAGACAGAGTGGGAGGGAGGGAGGCAGAGAGAGAAACATCGATTGGTTGCCTCCTGCATGACCCCAGTGGGGGCCAGGAACAAACCACAACCAAGGTATATGCCCTTGGCTGGAATCAAACCCAGGACTCCTTGGTTCATGGGCTGCCGCTCTAACCACTGAGAAAACTGACCAGGGTGGCTTTTAAGAATCTTGATTAAGAAAGAAGGAGGGAACCATGTCAAGGAAGAAAAAAAAAAAAAGAAAGAAGGAGGGATGGGTGAAAAGGGGAAGGATTAAGTACAAATTGGTAGTGACAGAAGTCACAGGATATAAAGTGCCGCACAGGGAATACAGTCGATAACGTACTAGGGGTGGTGCCAGGTGGGTCCCGGACATACCGGGGGAACCGCTCGTAAAGTATATGACTGCCTAACCACTGTGCATTCACCAGAAACTAACGCAAGCTAATACTGAATGTCAACTGTGATTGAAAAATGAAACCTACAGAAAGGGGAAGAGAGGTATTCCAGGGGGCAGTGTTTTTCTCCTTCGTCACCAAGAGAGACAGTGTTGGGGAAAGAGTTTGTGGCAGCGATAAAGGCAGGGCGCCTTGACTCAGCACGTGTCTGACGTCTTCTGTGAACCTCTCTTTCTCATCACCCCAGTGTCCTGCAGAGAGGCCGAGCAGCAGAAGTGTCCATCTGTTTCCTTTCGAGGCCAGCGGTAAGTGTCTAAGAGCCGGGCAGGTCCAGAGCTCCAGGGCTCTGCTGCCGCCCCAGCTGTGACTGGGCGTGCTCCTGGTGGGCAGCGAGATGGTGGGAGACTGACTTGTGGAGTAAACGCCCAGGAACAGCGAACAGCCAGTCTTACCTTGTGGGTGGGTGGTCAGCAGGAGCCAGCCCCTCCCTCCTGGCAGATGTGGGCGGGGCCTGGGGCTGGCTCGCCCTTCCTGGAGAGGTCTGCCCCCTGTGGCCACTACTGGAAGGACAGGGCAGGGCAGGGCAGTGGTGCACACCCTGCAGCTCTGGAGTGGTTGGTTGGCACACGCTGGGCCAGCAGTGTGCATGTGGAGGTGAGGGCAGCTGTGCCCTGGAGTGCCAGGGTCAGTGGCTCCCTTGTCCTCCAAGGCACAACCCCACACATGTGCCCTGTGGTCTCACCCCAAGTGTGAGTGTGAGAGTGAGCATGAGGATACATGTGGGAAAGTGAGTGCACATGAGTGTGTGTGAACACGTGTGCCCGAGTGCATGTGAGTGTGTGTAAGAACAGGTGTGCCTGAGTGGATGTGAGTGTGTGTGAACAAGTGTGCCTGTGTGCACGTGAGTGTGAACAAGTGTACCTGAGTGCACGTGAGTGTGAGCAAGTGTGCCTGCGTGCAGGTGAGTGTGAGCAAGTGTGCCTGAGTGCACGGGAGTGTGTGTGAGCAAGTGTGCCTGAGTGCACAGGAGTGTGTGTGAGCAAGTGTGCCTGAGTGCCGTGTGAGGGCAAGTGTGCCTGAGTGCACGTGTGTGAACAAGTGTGCCTGAGTGCACGTGCGTGTGAGAGCAAGTGTGCCTGAGTGGACGTGTGTGAACACGTGTGCCTGAGTGCATGTGAGTGTGAACACGTGTGCCGGAGTGGACATGTGTGAACAAGTGTGCCCGAGTGCACGTGCGTGTGAGAGCAAGTGTGCCTGAGTACACGTGAGTGTGGGAGCAAGTGTACCTGAGTGGACATGTGTGAGCAAGTGTGCCTGGGTGCACGTGAGTGTGTGTGAGCAAGTGTGCCTGAGTTGCTGTGTGTGAACAAGTGTGCCCGAGTGCATGTGAGTGTGGGAGCAAGTGTGCCCGAGTGCATGTGTGTAAGAGCAAGTGTGCCTGAGTGGACATGTGTGAACACGTGTGCTGAGTGCACGTGAGTGTGAACACGTGCACCTGAGTGGACGTGTGTGAACAAGTGTGCCTGAGTGCATGTGAGTGTGAGAGCAAGTGTGCCTGAGTGCACGTGTGTGAACAAGTGTGCCTGAGTGCATGTGAGTGTGGGAGCAAGTGTGCCTGAGTGCACGTGTGTAAGAGCAAGTGTGCCCGAGTGGACGTGTGTGAACACATGTGCCCGAGTGTATGTGCGTGTGAGCTCTGATGGTGAGTTGAGCAGCTTGCTGGCCCATGTGCTCCTGGTAAGCCTTTCAAGGGGCAGACCCAGCCCGTCTGGCGACCACGGCCATGGGGCTTCTGTCCCAGGCAGCACTGCACGCTGCTCAGGTGGAGGTGGTGTAGCAGGCGCTGTGGTGACAGGTGGAAACAGGTGCAGACCGCCCCTGACCTTTACTGCCGCGTCCCCCCTGGAGTCCGTCCTGCGCTTGGGGACCGTCCTCGCTCATAGTCGCTCGGGCTTCCGGCAGGAACCACGGCCTCTGCTCTGCTGTCCTCTCTGCACCCCCAGAGGAGGGCGGGTGGTGCCAGGGCTGACCCGCCGGGGGGGCAGAGGGGGCCAGCACTGATGTCTACACCTGCTGCGGGGGCCACTGCCCAGCGTGTGGCCCTCCGTGCCGAGGCCCCGGCTTCATGTCAGGGGGCAGCGTGGCCTCACCCGGAGGCTGGCAGGTGCGTCCTGCTCACCTTTCTCCTCCTTCTCTTCTCAGAAGACAGCCGCCCCTGGAAGGCCTTGAATGGAGGAGGGCCCATCAGAAGCCAGGCAGCCCAGGGCCCTGCACCCTCCTTCCCAGCAGGCCCCTGCGGTGTGAGTGCGGGCCTGGGCGCGGTCAGCGCGGTGGACCTCAGGGAGAGCTCGGGGCCGCCCTTGGCCCCGCCCAGCAAACGACACTGTCGCTCCCTGTCGGAGCCGGACCAGCTGGCCCGCTGCCGGTCCCCATGGCGCCCCGGTGGCTCCAGGGTCTGGACTGCTGTCTCCAAAAGGCGATGCCACAGTGGCGGTAGCGCCAGCCTACCGGGGGGCGCCTTTCTGGCGGCTGGTCCCAGCTCAGCCCTGGCACCCCAGCCGACCTCAGCCCACAGCGGCTTTGTGGACAGCGGGGGCGGCGCAGGCCCACCAGGGTGTCCTCCGGGGCCTTGCGCCCTGTCCTCCCGGCGCCGCCTGTCCCTGTCGCAGGAGCACCTGGTGGACGCAGACTGCCCCTTGTCCACGCCCGAGCTGGGCTGGCGGCTGGGCCTGCCCCGGAGCCGCTCGCAGCCCTGTGTGCTCGTGGGGAGGAAGAGCCGGCTGAAGCGCCCGAGGGAGGAGGGCACCCGGTGGCCACGCCCATCCTTGGACTTTCTGAAGATGACACGGGTGAGCCTTCCCCCTGTGTCCAGGCAGCCACCCTCTGGTGTCCTGCCTTCGCTCTGGGGTTCTGGGAGGTGGCGCGCAGGGGGCTGTGGCTGTGTGGAGCTGTGCCCTGCGCCCGGCGGGTCCGAGGCAGAGGCCAGCAAGCACCACGGCCGCACTGCCTGCCCTCCGCTCCTCCGGGATGGGAGCCTCACCTGCCCCTTGGGGTGACGGGATCTGGGAGGTGAGGATCTGTCCCTGGGTGTCCGAGGCGGCCCGGCCTCTCCTCGGGGTCTTCACCACGTCCCTCCCTGACGCCTCTCTGGGGGAAGGGTGTTTGCAGTGCTGTGCTGTGGACCCGCTCGAGACCGAGTTCTGGGGCTGGCACCGCCCACCTCCCCCTGTGCTCTGCTCACAGGCCCCGGTTCAGACAGTGACCAGAAGGACAGACTGGAGGCTGGGCCTCTGTCTCTGGAGGGTCAGCAGCTGGGGAGCTGGAATATAACCGGGTGGGACGGTCTCATTAACTCCAGACTGTCTGTGGGAGAGAGAGTCGGGAACAGGGCCGTGTGGGGTGTTCTGTCCCCTCATCAGCACTGAGATGGACCCCAGGTCCTCCGCAGGGCCGTGTGGGTTATTGTGTCCCCTCATCAGCACAGAGATGGACCCCAGGTCCTCCGCAGGGCCGTGTGGGGTGTTGCGTCCCCTCATCAGCACAGAGATGGCCCCAGGTCCTCCGCAGGGCCGTGTGGGGTGTTGCGTCCCCTCATCAGCACAGAGATGGACCCCAGGTCCTCCGCAGGGCCGTGGGGCCCCGACGCCACTGCCACCTCGTGCCCCTGGCGCTGGGCCTCTGAGGACCCCTCTCAGAGCTGGGCTCCCGCACCCGCCGAGCCTGTGCAGAGAAGGGGCGGGCTGGCGTTTCCCAGTGAGCCCGCCATCCGGGAGCAGGATCTCTGCGTCAGTACAGCCGGCACGGGGAGCCGCCGCTGGCTGAGTGTCCGTGTGGCTCCCCTCACGTGCAAGGGCTGCCGTGACTGTGTGCTCCGCGCGCCCCGACCTGGAGCCAGGGAGTGCAGAGGCTTGGAGGTGGGGCCGCCACTGTGGGCGGGGGAGCACCGTGGGGACCCGGCGGGCGGCTTGGGCAGCAGGGTGTGGACGCTGCGGCCTCCGAGTCCTCGCCCGAGGAAGGGAAGGTTCCCGCAGGGAAGACTTAGGACTCTGTCTCGAGGTGAAGCTGTCGGTGAAGCTGCTTTGAAGACAGAGCGGAACCGTCATCAGGAGCCGCGAGGTCGGCCGAGGCTCTGCGCGGCCATGGGTTTGCAGCGTCCACCCCTCGGAGGAGGCCTCGCTGCCTCCAGTGTGCTGGGACGTCAGTGGACAGCCCAGCTCAGCCTCTGTCCGGGGGACGGTGGTCTCGGTGGACCGCCCTTCAGCCGCCCAGAGCTGCCCTGTCTGACCACCTGGAGGGGCTGGAGCACGGCCGTCGGCCCACTGGGTCTCTCTCAGCTCGTTGTGTGACGTGGTGGTGCCCTTGCTCTGTCCCGGGCAGTGCTGAGACTCCGCAGGCCAGCCCACCCTTCGCAGAGGGAGGGTCCGTGAGGACGGTGCACTCACGTCCCCACAGCGGGTGCATGTCCCCACGTCCTCTGTGGGTGTCGAATAGACAGTGTGACGTGAAGGAAGACGTGGGCTGCTGAGAGGGTGGGACGAGCTGGATCAGACAGGTTGTGGTGGTCTTGGCCTTTTCGGGGCACCTGGATGGGGTGGGCGGAGTCGTGGCACACGGGATGGGGGGACTTCATCCTGCTCATCACTGCACCCGTGTGCGGGGTCAGGCAGTGCAGGTGGCCAGCACAGGGCGGGGCACGGTGAGGAGGTAGCTGCGCCCCTGCCCTGGGCCTTGGTGACCGTGGGGGACGCTGGGGTGGCAGGAAGCCCCAAGGAGGTCCTTCAGGTGGCAGGTGACTTCTTGGTCAGGCTTGCTGAGGGGCTGAGGGACCCCAGGCCGGCTAAGTGGGAAATGGGCGCGAGGGAGCCAGTCCACCCATTCTGGCCGTCGTGGTGATTGGAGATGTGGGGCTCACTGATTGGGGCTCCGGGTTCACCCTGCATGGCCACGGTCACATATTTTTTTAAATCCTCACCTGAGGATAGTTTTCCATTGATTTTTAAAGAGGGGGAGAGAGAGAAACATCAATGTGAGAGACATATCGATTGTTGCCTCCCACACGACTGATCAGAGCCGGGGATTGAACCTGCAACCCAGGCACATACCCTTGACCAGGAATTGAACTCATGGCCCTTTGGTCCATGTGCTGATGTTCTGAGCGCTGAGCCACACCAGCCAGGGCCAAGGTCACGTTTTTGACACAGATGTGGATGGGCCGGCCAGCCCCTGGCATTGAGGGGATTCAGGTGGCTTAGGGGAGCCTTTTCGTTTTTGTTCAGAATCTCCTGACTGAGACACAGCTGGGTCACCTGGGCCTCTGGGGACAGAGACTGAGTGGGGCGCTCCCCAGCACCCACAGACCTACCTCTGTGCACAACTTGAAGGATCCTCTACAATTCAGAACTCCAAGTCTTGACCTCTGATTTTGCAAAAAATATTTTACGTTCATCTGCTTATATGCAGGTCAGCATCAAACCAGAGATAGTGGTCAGAGCAGGGCAGTCGGTGACGAAGGCCATCGTGTCAGATTACCCCAGGCCGGCCGTCGTGGCTCTGTGTGGTGGGATGCAGCAGGTGGGTGCCCTGTCTGGCCGCTTGCGGATGGCGGCTGCGTGCGTGCACTTCCTGTTACCAGTGTGGTGTCTCCTGCTGTCGGGTCAGGAGGTTCGACTTCTGTGAATCAGAAGAACACCTCATGGTGGACAGTTAGGAAGGGCATTCACCGTGTCTGTGCAGAGCTGGGCCCAAAGGCTCCGGCGTCGGCGCTGCCCACAGGGCCTGGGCAGTGGCCAGAACCAGCGCAGGAGCAGGGCGGAGGGGCCGCGCTCTGCCTGTGCCCGCCCAGTGGGGCCGTGGACACAGCCCTGTCCTTGAGCGGGTGCATGTTTCACCTGGGTTTGAACACGAAGAAATCTTGTGAATCCTCACTTTGTGACAAGCATGTGGCTCAGTGACCTGAGAGTAGATTCTCTGGAACCTTCTCTATCAGCGACCGCTGGTCACAGAGACGTGGGGACTAGTGACTTTGGAGTGTAGATTCTCTGGAACCTTCTCTATCAGCGACTGCTGGTCAGAGACGTGGGGACTAGTGACCTCGGAGTGTAGATTCTCTGGAACGTTCTCCACCAGCGACCGCTGGTCACAGAGACGTGGGGACTAGTGGCCTCGGAGTGTAGATTCTCTGGAACGTTCTCTATCAGCGACCGCTGGTCACAGAGACGTGGGGACTAGTGGCCTCGGAGTGTAGATTCTCTGGAACCTTCTCTATCAGCGACCGCTGGTCAGAGACATGGGGACTAGTGACCTCGGAGTGTAGATTCTCTGGAACGTTCTCCACCAGCGGCCGCTGGTCACAGAGGCGGCAGGAGGAAGGCTGCAGCAGGGCCCTAGAAGCTGCATTTCCAAGAGAAGCTCCACCTCTGGAGAGCGCGTGCCCCCGACTGCGTTCATGGCCACACTGTCCAGGGGCTGTCCACCTGCAGCCCGGCTTTTGTTGTGAGGTGTCTTGGCCTGGAGGAGTGGTTTGGGGGACTTCTGGGTGTGGAGTCTCTTTGCTTGATACCAACTTCGAGCCTGGGGCGCTGGCCGGCTGTGTGCCTGTGGCAGTGTTGACATATCTGTCTCCACACCCCGAGTTCGCCCAGCGCCACCTAGAAGGTCCAGCCACCTGGTGACAGTGGCTGGGGGCAGGTGGGCGTGGCCCAGGAGAGGAGTCCTGCAGTGACACCCGGGTGGGTGGAGCTGGGGAGCAGCAGAGGTGTGGGCACATGGGGGGGGTGTACCGTGGGCGGCAGCATGCCGACTGAGGATCAGGAGGTCGGGGCGAGGGCTGGGGTGGTGTCGGGGAAACGGCCCTGGTTGTGCCGAGGGGCCTGCTCCTGCTGTGTGGGCAGGGATCAGGGCCCCCAAATACGGGATGGGGTAGTCTTCTGGGTCTTAGCCCCCATCGAACAGCCAAGGGGGGTCCACCTGAGAGCTGGGTTCTGTCTTTGGCTGGGGGAGAGCTCAGGGAAGGCGCTCGTCTGGGGAGCAGGGCTGAGCCCTGGGAGCCGTCCTTAACCGACGGGAGAGGCTGGCTGTGGGCTCAGGGCAGCGGCCCATCTGCAGAGCCGGGTCCCCGGAGAGGGGCCTGTGATGTCAAGTGTGTGAAGATGAGAAAGGGGCAAGATTCACAGTCGAGGAGGAGCAACTGTTGGGAGGAGGGCCGAGGAGAGCGGGAGCTGGTGAGGCAGCTGGGTGTGGGGACCCCAGGTCTCCCCGAGTGTGAGGTGGGTCGACACAGCTGCACCCGAGTCCCTGGGCGTCTGGGCTTCAGGGGCCCCCGTCCTGCTGTGCTGCTCGGGGTGGGTGGGGACACGGTCCCCCGGCTCTCGCCGAGGCGGGCGCAGGCCTCGTCCCCCTGATGAAGGCCAGGGCCCGGCCGCCCGAGGGAGGGTGTGTATCTGAGGCGCATGGGACCGAGGACGCTCTCTGTGACTTGGGGACTTCAGTCAGGGTCGGCGGGGTGCCCCCATGAACCCTCCCGGAAGTGCCTTTAATACGTGTCTTTTCTGTTGCAGACGTTAAAAAATTCAAAAAGTCTTGGCTCCCTGGACTGTGAAGGCGAGGATGGCGCCACCGGAGCGGAGACAGCCGGGCCCTCCCCCTGCGGCCCGCGGGGCCTCTCGGGCCTCCTCAGCCCTGGTGCCAGGCCCCGCCCTGCCAGCCCCCGCCTGTGGGCCTCCCGGGAGCCAGTGGCCGGTGGGGGCACGAGCAGTGGGGACCCGAGTGACGGGGACAGCGCGGGGGAGGGGGACGCCCTCCCCCTGGGCCACGGCGAGCTGGACCTGGAGCAGATTGAGAACAACTGAGCCAGCGGGAGGGAGGCCCCGGGGCGGGCTGTCCCCCATCTGCTCTGGGGTCTAGGCAGAGACCAGGCCACGTGTTGTCTGGAACATTGAGTGTCATTTTGATTCTTTCCTAAAGGAGTATTTTGCATTTTTATGGCGTTTACAGTTCTAGAGAAAGCACCTCTATTTTGAAATGAATTTTCAAAGGGCGTTCGACGACCTGGGGGCGCGGACCCCAGGGTGGGCTGGCTCCTCCGCGAACCCGTGGTGAAGGGCGCTGTGCGTCGCTGAGCTGCGGAGCCCGGCCCGAGGCCTGTGTGCCCCGCCGCCCGCTGCCCACCTGCGGATCGAGCAGGCCCACTGCTCCCTGTGGGGCGCTGGCTGGGCTCCCGGCCCGGCGCGGGGACACGCTTGTGGCAGCGCCTGGCCTGTGACTTCAATAAAAGACAGTTGCTTTGCACGTGGGCCTTCAGCTTGTTGATGTTCATGTCCAGGAGCCGTGGACCCGCTGACCTGGCGGCAGGGCCCGTTCCTCCCGGTGTGGCGCAGTCATGGAGCTCTGCCCAAACCCCGGGCTTCGGGTGCGAGGAGGGAGTTTGTGACAGCGAAGGGAACATGGTCTTCGGGGAAATTTTCTTTTTTCCCCAAGAAAGTCTGAGTAGGTCAGTCAGCATGGCAGCCGTGTCCTCGATTGGCTGGGACTGCGGGTCCGAGGTGGGCGGAGGCAGGAGGTGGTGGCTGCCGGGACCGGCTTCCGGAGGCTGAGCCCCTGCCCACCCGGCCCTCGCTCAGGTCCTCCCTCAGGCCCCCCTCAGGCCCCCCTCAGGTCCTCCACCTGTGCTGCAGGGCGACCTGCAGCAGCACCTCGCCGGGCTGGCCGCCCTGGAGCGGAAGTGGCCGCAGTGTTTCCGTCCTGGAGGGGCCGTGCTGAGGGCCGGTGTTCGCAGGGCTGTGCGGGGCGGCCCGGGCAGTGCGCGTGGACGGTCAGGGCCCCCAGGTGCCGGGGAGCCCCTGCCTCCTTTCTGGAGCTGCTCCAGCTCCTGGGCCCATCCAGGTGTCAGACAGTGGGTTTCACTGAAGGTGAAAGATGACAAAAAGGCCCCGGGGACCAGGAACAGGGGAGTCACCTTTGTCCTCAGGCCCATTGTCATGACGTGATGTCCTGTCATGAGTGGCCAACCACTCAAGTGGTGTCTTGAGTGGGGCAGGAGCCGACGGGGCACCTGAAATGTGAAGGAGCCCTTGGTGGCTTCTGAAAAGGGGCCTTTGGGGTTATGCTAGACCGGAAGGTGTCACCTGCTTTCGCAGACTCCACCTGGCCGCACAGGAGGGCCCTGACCAGGAAGTCGTGTTTTGGGTTAATTTTGGGAATGGCCCCATGGAGGTACCTGGGTAGTCGGTTGGTGGTCACCGCCGGTGGCTCTGGGCTCTGGGTGGGGCGAGTCCTTCTGCAGGGCGGCCTGCAGGTACAGCCCACCGGTGCCCCTGGGACAGGGCGGCACATGCAGCAACATCAGGGAGATGGGGTGGGAGCCTTGGAGGACTGCACGGTGGTGGTGTCAGGCCCACCCGACAGCCCTCCCGACATGCTCGTCTGATGGCAGGCCTGTGTCACAGGTTGGCCCAGATGGTCTGGGGGCTCGGGCAAGTGAGGGGGGAGGGCTTGGCCAGAATAAGGTGGTGGGACGAGTAAAGCGTAGCCGTGGAAACAGACGAGTCTCCAGGGAGTGGAAGGGCCGCTCCCAAATGTAACTGACTCCCCACATCATGCACTGCTGCAGACCCCTCGGAGAAGAAGTCCACACAGCTGCCATCCCACTGGGTGTTTCTGGGTGGTTCTCAGGAGCTAAAGGGTCAAGTCGCCCCAAAAGAACACAGTAGGCGTGGAAGATACCGCTGGCTGTGGGGTGCTCAGCGGCCACCGTCTGCGGACAGTCCCACTGACGGGTGCCCGTGGAGGCGTCTACACTGACCAGTAGTCCAGAGCGAAGAGCAGTGAGTTTGAAGACATCGCCGGTGTGTCGATCACGTTCCCCGCTCGGCTGTTACAGAGCCGCCCGGGGTCACCTGAGTAGGGAGTTCAAACTAGCTCGTTGCCCGGCTGGTGTGGCTCAGTGGATGGAGGGTGTCCCATGGACTGAGAGGTCCGGGTTCGATCCCCAGTCAGGGCACACGCCCGGGTGGTGGGCTTGATCCCCAGTAGGGGGTGAGCAGGAGGCAGCCGACGGATGTGTCTCTCACGTGGATGTTTCTCTCTAAAAAAAAAATTAAAACATTTTTAAAAAGCAGCTCATTGTATAACTCAGACACCTAGAAAATACTCAGATGTGAGCGGCAGTGGAGAAGGGTTAAAGGTCATCAGTGTGTCTGACGTGGCCCCTGGGAGGAGTGAATAACCCTGATGAGCTAAGCATCCAACTTAAAACCAGGCAGAGGGGCAGCCGGTCCCTGATGCCGGGTAGAAACACGTAGGGTTTTGAGGGCCGGGGAGGTGGGGTTGGTTGGAATTCCCACCTCACCCCTCGGACATGACACCCCTCAGCCGCCTTCGCTGCTGGTGGCGGCCACTTGCTGAGCCCTGAATGAGGGGAGAGAAGCCCCAGAAAAAGATCGGAAGAGGAGATAGGAGCAGATGTGGGGGTGTGGACAACAGCCCCAGAGCCCCGTCGTCCACCAACCAGCACCGTGGCGAGGGTAGAAACAGCCAGTCGGTGAGAAGGGGCAGGACCTGAGATGCAGCAGAAGTCATTAGGTAAAGAGAGAGCATTGGGCACTTAGCGGGAATGTTCACGTTCCTGGAAAAACATCACCAAGACTGACTCAGGAAGAGAGGGAACCCAGGGGTGGCCCTACAGCTGTGAACTACAAGGAAACAGCGGTGAGCACCTCCCTGCAGAGGGAACGTCCCCAGGTGATGTCACAGGCAGTAATGCAAAGCGTCGGCCAGACGGACAGGACAGGGAGGCTGTGGTGGCTGTCCACTGACTGCTGTGAGGAGGTGTGGACAAGCCCCTGGGCTGGCCTCTGCCCTTCTCTTCCTGTCCCTCGTCCCTCTGCAGGCTCTGAGGGGACCATGGGGACAGGGACGGAGCTCAGTGGGGCCTGGCTGGGCAGTGGCCCCCCGGTGAGCCCTTCCGCCTGTGTGCCCCACCTCTCCACCTTACCCCACAGTAGGGTCCTGTTTGCACAAAGAAGGGTCTTGGGCAAGCGGGGTCCAGCTCCTCCAACCTCCACCCCAGCCCTCAGACATCTGGGGACAAGGCCGGTCCCCTCACAGGTCACCGGCCCATAGACACTGACCCTCACTCCCTCTCCCCGATCCCTGTCCTGGGCCCCGTTCCTGAGCTGGGATGACCCTTCCGCTGCTGGGCTCTGCCCTGGCGCCCTGTAGGATGGACGTGATCCCATACCCGACCCCACGCACCACCTTTAACTATTTTTCTGCAGTATGAATACAGTGTCTGAAAGGCTCTTTACATTAATTTTGGGGAGTTATATCGTCTTAGGAAATCGCCCATGTCATCGGAAGCATGCAGCGTGTTCACTGGTCACGTTCCACGTCTTCCCGACGCCCGGGCACGGCCCTGGTGGCACGTCTCTGCCGCCGGGGCTGGCTCATTTCATCTACCCATCCCGGCGGCGCGCCAGCTCTGGGGTGTGCTGGCGGGTGCTCCCATTTTTCTTGTTTCCGATTCATTTATTCGCCTTTATCTCCACCCCTCCTGCCTCCTGGATTTACTTTATTGTTCTGTTTCCCTCCTGTGTCGGATGTTTAGTTCATTTATTTTCAGTCTCTCTGGCTCGGTAATAAAAACATTTAAGGTTGTGAATTCTCCGCCAACTCGTGCTGTGGGGGCTCTAGACGTGAGCGCTCCTGTGTGGCTGCGAAGCCGCCTGTCTCGGCCCCTCGGCTGCCCCGGGCTTGCCAAGGGGTCATTCGGGAGAGGGGCTTTGCACCTCCAAACACCTTGCTTCTCTCTAGAGCAGCGGTTCTCAACCTTCCTGATGCTGCGACCCTTTAATACAGCTCCTCCTGTGGTGGGGACCCCCAACCAACCACAAAATTATTTTCGTTGCTGCTTCGTAACTGTCATTGTGCTACTGTCATGTCTTAGGCGACCCCTGTGAAAGGGTCGTTTGACCCCCCAAAGGGGTCGCGACCCACAGGTTGAGAACTGCGGCACTAGAGCCTCCTGTGCCTCTTCAGGTTCCGTGTTGGTTTAAATGCCGAGGCTGAAGAACATTCACCGCGAGGATGGACACGTTCTGCTTCTCCGTTGTTCGTAGGCGGACACCTGGGTGGCGCCCACGGCTCAGCTGCTGTGCGTAGCGCTGCTGTGAACATGGGTGCGCGGACACCCCCTCAAGACCCCGCTCCCCATTCTCTGGGAGGTACCCAGAAGCAGGACCGCCGGGTTGCGTGGTGGTCTGTGTTTAACTTTCTACGGACCCTCCACACTTTTCCACAGCGGCCGCTCCGTTTCCCTTTCCCACCAGTGCCCAGGGCTCCGATCTCCACATCCTCGCCAGCACCGGTCGTTTGTGTTTATTTCTGGGAGCTGGGTGCGAGGTGGTGCCCGTGCAGTTTTCTGCTGTTGCGGCTGATATCTAACCTGCCTGCACTGTGGTGGGAGGGCTGTTGGCCTCAGGGCCCAGCACGTGGCCGGCTGTGCTTGAAGACACTCGTGGGATCCCCTGCGTCTGAGAGTTCGGCTCCCTGTGGTCCAAGTGCTGGTCCCGCACTGGACTGTGCCCTGCTTTGTCTGCTCCTTGTGGCTTGTGGGTGCACCCAAGCTTAGAATTATCACACATTTCTGGGGAGTTGAACCTTTACCATCACACATGGACGCTGTTTGTCTCCAGGGAAAACTTTTGCTTACATTCTGCTCTGTCCAGTGTCGACCTGGACGCGGCCTCTTTCGTCCGGTCACCACGCTTGGTTCTGGGGTCCTCTCTTCCTCCCGGGAGCTCAGAGTTCCCGTTGTCCTCGTGGGCTGCCGCCTGAAAGACACCCTCCTCCTGCTGCAGTCGGGCTGCAGGCTCAGCTCCAGGCTTCTGAACACGCCCTCATATTCGAAGGAGGGTTTTGCCCGATAAGGAATTCTAGTTCGCGTGAGAGCCACGGTTCCGGCATCTCCGGCAGGGCCTTTGCCGAGGAGTCACAGTGGCACTGCTGTTTCCTGGCTTGGAAACGTGTCTTGTTTGTTTTTCCTGGAGGCTCTGAAGATTTTCTCTCTTTTTGGTTTTCAGCAAGTTGGGTGGCGACCTGGGAATGGATGAATTTCTCTCTGTATCTGTGTCGCGTGGTGGTGGCTGCCCAGGTGTCTCTGCAACCAGTGGGCTGTTAGATGTTCTCCGGCCCCCTTCTC